ATGGGCTGTCACTGCGAATGCACTCTATCCAATATTTAAAGGAATCAAATGAAAAGTGGTCCTGTCTACGATTTGTTCATACTGCATGCATACAATTTAGTTAAAAACTGATGATATTTGAGTGCCTACTGCCAATTTATGAGTCATGGTTGTGGAAGGTCATCTAGGGATGAAGATTTGATGTGGTGGTGGACAACCATCACGCGGATACGGATTGAACTCAGTGATAGCGGCAATGCTGAGAGCAATCGAAGACCTCCGTTGGTAATGAGAAGTGAACATGCTTTCAAAGAACTGGTTCGATGAAGTCGTGGACTTTGATCAGTTGTGTAATGCAAGAGTATTTGATGAACAAAGTTCACTTTTATTATTTGTAGTAAATGACCCTGTGCATAGGCAGTGCTTTTCATAAAGTTTTGCCTCACTGTGCAAAAAGGTAGAGGAGTTATTGCCAACCCAAGCCAAGCTACTCCAACATGTTTTCATGCTGAAACACTGTAGTTAATTTGATGTATAGTTGTGGTAAAACAACAGTTTCACTCCTCTCATGCCCATATGCCACGGTTTGGGGGAAGAGTTACCCTAGTTAGCAGAATAGTTCGGCTTCATTTTTTGACCCTTATCCTTGGCACTTTTCGGCTGGTTTGTGCCAATTTTTTCCATCGAAATAGCAGTGAAGAGAGGTAGGAGTGAACTAAACATACTTCCTTTTCTAGCTAATGTGTGAGCCTTAACATGATGACCAACGTATTTACTTCAAATGGATTGGCAAATTGAGGAGGAGTAGAATAAGCAAGTGATGGCTGAGCCCAATTCAGACATGTAAAAATGTGCTCCAAGAAATTAAAGAAAACTACATTATGATTTGATGGTTATTTGTAGCAAAGATGAATTGAGGGCTTAAATTGCAGATGTTAAATACAATAATAAGAGAATCTTATCCACTAGTCTACATTTGTCGGAAGTCGCGCCTCTGGCGGCTCTGTAATCCAGGGGTTAAGTAAGTAGTGCTTAAGGCCTAAAAAGACCCGCATGGAGCTCGGCCGATGAGGGAACTCGAAGGAGGCAGAGCGCGCTGTTCGTATGACGTTATCCCATCAGTCGGTTGTCTTAAGAGGAAAGAAGTTAAGTTTTAGAGCAAAAAGAACAAGTGGGGAGAAATTGAGAATTTGTCTGGGAAAGGATATAGAGGTATGTGAGCAAAATGTATCAAACTTAAACCATGTTGCTGAAAGAATGAAATCAGCGTTTTGGTCTGTGCGCGTCACGTGCTCATCATATGTACCTCATTTTCGAAGTGATGCAAAAGTACGCGTTGATTTTACTACTTTCAAGCTAACTGAAGCACAATCAGCACTTTAATAGCTTGTTAAGTACCTTATACTCCTTGTGCGATTACTTGCAGCAAAATGTTCGTTTAAAAGTTAAAAATCCAGTGTTTGGCGACTTCTAGGTTAATTTTGTAATTTTTCCTACAATCATGGCACAGAGGGCATAAGCGAACCGTTCTATTTCGTTGGCAATTGTTTCATCAATGCTACGCTGGAGGCTGTTGGGCAAGGTAGGTGCGTTGGCCGCACCTTATAAGGTTAATCGCCTATTCCATTGTGATGTCAAGACCGAATTTAGTGTCTCGTGCATCTACTTAATCCATTTGGTGGTCTTGATTCCCAAATGTGTGAGACCATATACAAGACAAATATAAATTTATCAGAAAATGGCGCCCTTGAACCATCACACTGTGGTACTAAAGGGCTCAGAATTGTAGGAAAACGACGTAGACGAGAAAATTGTCAATAAAGAACGCTACCAAAAGTATCTAAAATACATCGAACAAGGGTAAGGACTTCTACGAGATTGTAAAGTGCTTGGGGTGGAATCATTGCCCCTTCGTGATGTCAACCGTTACAGCGGGAAGACTTCGCATCTACACTAATCAGATTGTGTGCGGTAGGAACCATAGGTTATTGGTTAGAGTACAGTCGAAAAATCGATTTAAAATACTGAAATGAAGCTAAATAATCTTATACGATAAAGAGTAGTACCAAGTCTAGCCTTTTGCATAAATCTCAGGCTACTCTGTCTGAGAAAAAAAGGGTTATTTTGCTAATGAATAATCGGTCAACAATGGAGTAACCAATGGTATCCCAATGCTTTCATTAGAAAATGGATTAAAGGTCAAGGCGGTAGTACTGTCAATCATTAAGTGAATGCATACAATCCATTGGGGTATGGAGATGGCAAATAAGTATGTAAAAAAGTAGGAATCCAGAACATTTGACACGGTATCTAAGTCGAGTGCGCCTCTAGGCGGAGATGTCAGGCTTGGATTTATTACCCTGAAACGATGCGGGCGTCTCCACCAATCCGAGGCATTCACTTTGTGGTTGAGCCCACCTATGACTGTTGGGCTTAACAGATCGGCAACATGAACGCATGCACACAGTGTTTCTTATAAGTGCGAGCAAGACACTCTAACTTCTTGCATGTGTTATTTGTCGGCTTTTGTGGCTGAGAAGAACAGAAATGTATTGGGATACCTTATCCAAACGCCACTCGGACAATGCGAAATTGCGTAAATATAGTGAAATCCTTCCAAGGACAATGTCGCGCTCTTTTAATAGAGGACGCCGGGAGTCTGCTGTATCCGATCTGAACCGAAATGATGGCTCCTACCTGCCTTCTCATTCATTTAACCAACCTGAATCAAACCTTTCCGAGGAGGGTTCTAGTGCTATTCAGAATCGCCAACGCGTGAGTCAGGAACGACTTTCAATGTCTGCTACAAGGCCTTGGCGGAAGCTGAGGAATGCACTCTTGATAACCTCAAATGCATTATCCTCGGGACGGAAAGAGAAAGACACCTATGAAAGCAACGACGCCTTCTTAGATTACTTTTCTACTCAAAGACGTTCCTCCTTAACTCCTTATTGCCAGCAACAAAACAGTAATCTGCGCACCGACCAATCCAATCCAAAGATTCAAAACGAAAACCGATTTTATTTCGAAGGGTTAAATAAGTTATCTGAACAACAACCAGTGATGGAAAACGAAAAATCCGGCAGAGATGGAGAACCATTTCCTTCGATAACTCCCTTGACTCAGAGCACCCTCACCTTCGGCAACCGCGACAAGGAATCAGAGCTTCAAATAGCACACGGAGCGAGCAATAGGCCGGAACATACCACAGGGATCAGTATCAAACAGCAGTCCAGTGTCTCTTCCCAAAATGCACCGATTCAGCTGGAGGAGTGGGGTGGGTTTGAGGAGAATGAACTACCCGAGCCACAAAAACCAACACCAAGATTAAAGGCACGGTGCCTCTATCATTTGCGAAATTTCATTTTTTGCCCACCTAAACGTACACAATTTCCCAAATCGTGTGACAGCTGTTACGCGAATCCTTCTGAAAATGGCAAATCATTCGAGCACTTCAGGAGCACCCACTTTATCTGCAACCCACAAGGCCGTTTCATGTTTATTTGGCTGGGAATAGTAGCCATGGCAACGGTGTACAACCTCTGGACGGCAATAATGCGTCAAGCCTTCCATGAGATCCAAAAGGATAAGGCAGCACTGTGGATAGGACTTGATGGTGTGGCAGATCTCATCTATTTGGCTGACATCATGGTTCAATTCCGAACCAGCTACTTAGAGAAGGGTCTGGTGGTCAGGAACTCCCGGAAAATAGCAACACGCTATCTCTGGTCTCGAAAATTTGCCTTTGATAGCCTTGCCCTCTTGCCCTTTGATCTCTTTCAGTCAGTTACGGGCATACAGCCGCTTTTGAGGTTCCCTAGATTTCTAAAGTGTTTTCGCGCTTGGCATTGGAAAATCATGGTTGAAAATCGTACCACTTTTCCAAACACTTGGCGTGTATTAACTTTGACGCATATTCTGTTCCTCGGCTGTCATTGGTTTGCATCTATATACTACATTTTGTCGGAGAGTACTCACTTCCAGGATTCTTGGGGCTATCCAGCACCAACCACGCCGGAGTTACAGTCACTGCTGCGGAAATACCTCCAATCCTTCTACTGGGCTACTTTGACCCTAACTACCATAGGTGACATCACTGCACCAGAGGCGACATTTGAGTGAGTCCCCTTTGTCTGAAAAATCTACATTCCTGGACACACATTAGACAGATGCAAGTGCTTCAAAAGTGGCAAAGTGTTCAGACATTTTTTCCATAGCTTCAAGCCATAGACTACGTTTGCCTCGATAGAAATGGACAAAAGCCATTTGTTAAAGATAGACGACTGTGTCACTTTTCAAATTTAACATAACCACGAATTGAGATTTTTTCATGCTTGTCTCACTTCGGCAGAGAAGAAGATCTGCCAAGTTTCCTATGAGTTACATCTCGATATGTGTGGTTCGAATTAAGTAATCAAAAGAGCTAGACTTTAGCAATGCCCTAAGGCACACAAGCCTAGCAGAGTATCATTAGTATTATAAAGCATTCAAACTAAAATGACTTTCTTATTTTAAAAAGATGCTGCCAGCAGACATCTGCCTCACTTTAAATAGTATCAGTATATTTTGATCCTCAAGTTTGTTTCACATTCTCGCGTCACTTAGGCATCCCACTTGTGTTAGGCTGCTTACACGCCTCTGTCAACGGTTGTGTGTTGATGTTGCTCACATGTCTAGGCCATTCTTATAGCTTGACTTGAGTGGCCGTAAGAACTTCATTGCCCTCTTTCGCGCTCTGCCTAGAGCACCTCCTGAGCAAAGAACAGAGTTTGAGCATTGCATTCAAATTTCCGGCCCAACAAGACGTACAGGCGTAGAATTTATGCCTATGCAGCTGAGCACACAAATTAGAACGGTCGGGAGCAGCTTGTATGCCCTTAAATAGAGACAAGTATTTCAATTAGCCAAAATCAGCATTATGATGGCGGTCATGTTCACCTTCACATAAAAGGAAACCACCACCTGTTCGTTGAAACCCCTCAGGTGTGGAGTGGTTGGCTGACTCGAAGCTACCAGCATATACCACCCTTAGCTTACACAAATGGCTCCGTTCGCTGTGTATTTGCATGACTTGCCAAAGTGACTAATTTTTCGACCGCAAAATAATGAGTACTTGTAATACATCCACTCTTACACGCGGTTCGTCTTGCGACTAAACCACCTAAGTGGACCTTGCATGGTGGACTAGTTGGGTTGGATCAAGAGAGGGTGCCAATAAGAAGTGAGAAAACGTGATTGTAAGGTGTTTTTGCACCGCCAATGCTTAGTTCAGAGGTTAATTTACAAGGTCTAACTACAGTGCAATCGTAGAATAGCGAGGACTTGCCAATTAACATGTACCATTTCGAAGTTCAACGATCATAATCTCTCACACAATGTCTAAAAATAAACCAGGAATTAACAATAAGTGGCGTTCTTAATTGGAACATTATAGGTTCACTTCTCGAAGCACGCGGATGTTAGGACGGAATTTCTCAGTCGTTGGGAGAATAAAGGAGACATTTATCTGAGGCAGAAAAATGGCTTAAGATAAAGCCTAACCGAGTGTCCGGGATAATGTTGGCTATTTGCTATTGTAAGATGAATGCTGTCACTTACACCTTCTGTACTAGTTTAATATGATGCTAGTACTTTGCCCCTCTTCCCCATTGACAGTAAGGCAAAGTAGGACTTGCAATTCCAACAAGAAATTCGAATATAGATTGGCTGTCATCAGTGGCTGAATGTCATCTACTTGACCCTCAAAGATGCCCATGCAATGTTCTCAATTGTACCATGGAGGTGATAGAGGAGGTTCGTCTCAAAGCCAATGATTCTCGCCTAATTCTAACAGAATATTAGTTTGCAACAAAAGCACTGATACATCCCGACGATTACCATTGGCAATTTCGCTGCAGTAAATAGCCTCAAAGTGTGCGCTAACAAAAGCCTTCAACAAGACTTTTAACGTTTCGTCACCATTTTCAGTGTTCACTAATTACAGCACTTATGGCATTTTTTATCACTATGGTGAAGCGAATACAATTGAAATTTTGACTCCAAGAAAGAAAACAGCAATTGATATGATAAAATGACTCGGGTAGATAGCTTATTTAATTTTGAATTTCCGTGTTGTTCTTTTACCACGAAGTCTTTTAATATTCTGCCAAGGTGACATCACTACTTTTGCTTGAATGTGACAGGATCCACATTTTGATGGTCAGCTCCGGATCATAATGACGGCCCATCCACGCATTGACAGATTGACAATAGCAATTTGACTTCATGTTTATGCAAATGTGAGACACATCATTCGCCGTGCCCCTGTCAATAAAAATGTCATTACACCTTACCTCAACGGATCAAGCCTTTGTACCAAACAACGCAAGGAGAGCGGGCCGGGAAGTATTGATGTGATGTGTAGGTATAAGAGACGCTTAGTAGTCTAGCTGAAAGGCAGGATTTACGTGCTAAAGGGACTATAGCTACTAGGTGTGAATTAATTACCCTTTGGTGAAATAACATTGGTTATGGTTGCGCTTTAAATGATGAGATGTCTATTTGCTTGATTTCACAAAGCAAACAATAGCGGTTTAGGAACCATTAACACTGGCAGCCTTCAAGGAGCTGTAGATAATAGGAGAAGAGGAGTTCTAGAACCGCATGCTGTCTGATGCGAACTTATTTGGCTCTTTCCTTGCTATATTTGATGGCTGTTGTGTTTCTTTGCCACGAAACACCTAGAACAGAACATTGATGGAACGCATAGCAAGTCGCCCCAACAAATTCTCTACCGTGTAAGATGAGCCATTTCATTGAGGCAACTTAATTTAAGGATATTTTAAGAGCGCAAATATCAGCCAATCAGGCGACGAATTTCTGGAGACCATTTGAACACCGGGGCATGATTATGAACAAATGGCAATTAGTTCGTGACTGGGAGGTAAATGCCAATGAGTGGATGTAGTTTAGCATTCCAGTGCCAAGAAACATGCATCAAAGTGGCTAAGTAGTTCCACAGGTTTTTAACTGATTCTTGGTAGAGCAATACGTGTTGACACAATTTTACCTTACGTAGATGCTAAATTCACCTCAAAGATGTTTTAAAGCTCATAGAATATTAACTGCGTGTACTTCAATATAAACATTGATGAAGGAGATCCTGGTTGCGATTTAAATTTAGTCGAAGGAGTTTCATTATATTTGGTAAAACTTAAAAATGAAAAAAACATTTGGCTGGAGCTATAAGAACCAAACGAGGGAACAAGTATGAAGCATACTTGCGGTAAACGAATTTTTATTATAGCCAAAAACAAGAAGTCGACCAGCGCTATGACATCGTTCGATTGAATTCTCTTCACTGTCTCAGGAATGCTGGTTGGTGAGGTCAGCCGACGTTGGGTCTTGGAAGATGATGACCGAGTTAAGGACGCGAACTGCACTTAACTGTCACTTATGTGATTACGCCTATTAATGATGACATTTGAAGCAAATACCTCAACCGTTTGTTGGACGTTTTCGGCTATCCTAAGGGCGTTTTGACTGAAGTCTTATTGTGAAAACAATGATGCAAATATTTTAGAAAGCTATACTTATTAAGGAGCTAGAGCTAGCGATTGAACCCACAAACGATGCATCACCAAGAAAATGTTCCCTCACACAATGTTTTCCTTTTTATTTGGTAAGCCTAGTTCAGGTCTCCAACTATTTTGCCTTTTGCTTCCTAACAAATTATCTGCTGGCAGCTGTGCTAGTGTTTCCTATTCACGGGTTTCGACTTTCCAACGATTTGCGGCTAAATAAAGCTACAGACTTTTAAATTGGCCCTAAAATATATTATTGAGTCCATTGGTTATGATTTCAGATCCGGTAGGCACAAGCATCTAACATCTGAAACGTGGTAAAATAAGTGTCGAGTTTGGCATGCGTGTCTGCATGAGATGATATGACTCCCATTAATGTGGAATATCTATGAGATTGTTAATTGCATGTCGAGTTTCTGCTAAATCGCAAATATTTTCTAAATAAATCTTCACCTCAAATAATGCTTGGACTTAGAATTCATTTTGTGCTACTGAGTAGCTGCAGATAAGCAAATCATATTCCTTGTTTAACCAATCAGACGACCAATAAAACCATCATAATGAACACATCTTAATTTTGAATACCTTTTGTCTCAAAGAATTACTCGATATAAATTTGATATTACAAGAAAAAAAGGAAGAGGTGAACTCCAGTCAGTAGTGAGGGTAGCTGCCAGGTCCTGGAAACGTCAAGTAATGGCACGTAAACACACGATGTGCATTGAAGTGCAGCAGAGGCACTCGGAAATTTGACTGCCTGAATGCACACCAAAGTCTTGTCTTAGTTAATTGTTGATTTCAACCGATGAGGAAAGGGTATCGCTTTTAGGCATCTTATTTTTTACAAGATTGGCAAGTTTGACTCGTCCCTTGTTTTGGTTGTGAAAGCAGCGTTTGAGCAGATGACGGAGGATCGCATAAGCAGTTTTTTCGGACATCATTTTTGAGTGTGCATGTGCGATTGCGGCTGACCAACTGCGGCATTTGAGTGTATTTAAGGAGAGAGACCAAAAAGGCGCATCCAGATGCGTAGCAGCTATTTTAGCTGATAAAATTAAAGTACGAATTTTTGACAAATGCGACTTGGGATGGGTGTAAAGGATGCAATTTGGGCACAACATACACAGCGACTAGGAGTGGACAAAATCAGAGGACTTTGTATGATTCAAGTAGCCAACAGCCAGAGCGCAGTTTGCTTGTATGCGCATTTACAGCAAATTAATTTAGCACACCATCTTCGCCCTACTGAGGGGCTCTCAAAACATTCAAGTACACTTTCAGAACCGTTGTAAATCAAACACTTTTGCATGAGTTCACGATTTGTTCCCTAGTCTTGAGAAACATTCCCTTGTGAAGAAACTACGATTGACAGCTGAAATTAGAGTTGAAACTACACATCCTTTGTTTTAGGTATGCATTCACGATAACCACCTATTTGATAGGCGTTTTTGTCTTCGCAACTATCGTGGGTAAGTTAATACACCTCCTATTGCTTGAGTAGATTTGTTTAATTTGTTTTTTCCAAGTTTTAACGTATTTAATGCATTGTGAAATGAAATACACCACATTTAACGGCTGTACTTCCTTTTTAAATGCAGACTTCTTCATTGTTAGCACAAGTTCACTGTCTATGCTTATGGTCCAAGTGTAATAAACCATTAGTCGAATCGAGTAAAGCGAATGAGTTGGTTCCGACTCAACCGTCCTGATCGGAGGACTTACGAACTGTCCAAATCATGTGATGTAGGTTAAAGCCGAAAAAGAAAAAAAAGAATGAACGACATAAGTTGATTTGGACTATGACGACCATGGGAAATGTCGGTTTATCCATCGGTTTACGCCGATGAAGAGCCAGGAACGAAGTTATCTATAAGTTAGTGAATGAGCATATCCTAAATAACTCTCCTTTGATTAAAGCCCTTGGGTTTTGCTTTAGGTCAGGTTGGCAACATTATCAACAATAGAAATGCGGCCAGACTCTCTTTCGAAAATTTGCTCGTAAGTTAATGGACTCGTTAAGTTGCAAGGCAATCATTTTGGAATCCATCAACAATCAAGCTAGAAGTAGACACATAAATATGGATCCTCCTGGTAAATGTAAATGAAAGCAAAATAGCTAGACAATGGACTAAAGTTTTACCCACAAAGTTGTAATATTCGAGAGCAAGGTTATTTTACCAAAGGTAAACTTCATTTCAGGACAATGCCAAAAGTTATATGAGCACCCACCACGTGCCGCAGAGGTTGAGGAATCGCGTCCTCCGATGGTACGATTATGCATGGGAAAGGTAAGCAAGCTCTTAGGCTTATTTCCCACTTCCACCAGTGAGAAGTAAATTGATGCAAGGGAGATGGTATGGGACCTATTTGCTGTTCTGAACGTTTCCTAAAGCTAGTCGATGGGCACAAAGACGTGTGACTACAAATAGGAGGCCAGCAGCCTTATGCCCATCTTTGCATGACAGTCAGCATCGGTGGAATTGTCTTATCAAAATTCGGCGAGCCAAGGGGATCGTGATTTTCACACAAAAATGCACCTTCAAACGTAGCCTAAAGCGGTAAGAGGGTATGGAGCAGATAATTTGGTCCTTCAATTTGTGAATGTTTGCGCCTAAATAGGCAACCTTTTTAACATTTACAGAAGGAATGAATTGTAATTTTCCAGGTCAAGTATGTGGTGTTGTAAGTGTCGTTTTGACCATCCTCTTGCAATATGAAGTACAGATCGAATAAACACTGAGACACCTTAACTAGCCTCGGTCAACTTAAAAAAGAGCAATTTGCAGTGTTAAGGGGGTAATTCACACACTACGTCGCCGATTGATGAATTGAGTGCAAAGAGTTAGTGAAGTACATTGTTTGTTTTGTTCTGTCTAGTTAGCATTTTAGCTGCCGCAGGCAACTTCTTGGCTCTCCTGACCCTCGTGCAAGTGGGTGATGGGCTAATGCCACATCCATGCTTTAGGACCGTGGCAAGACTGTTAGGGGCGCATAACTATCGTGGCAGCTTTGATGGAAACTTTATAGCTGTTTAATTGTTATTAAAATTGCACCTTCATGTGCATGATGTCCCAATAGTGGTACCCATTATATCATTGGAATGCAATGTCGAGTAAATGTCTCAGAGCATTTCGAGCCTTACGGGTGTCGGACTCGCCTCCGCAGAGCAACATGCAGTTACACAGCTTCATTTCGACTGCAAATTGAAATGTAAGGTGGTTGGTGGGTAATCGGAGACGCCAAAAAAAAATTTACTCATGGCAGTTAGCAAAAATTAAGGGCAGTGTGTAGACATTTTCGTCAACCAAAAAACTGCATTATGAAGCCCGATATGCCTCTCTCCGAATCAGTTTGCGCTGGTTTCGACAATTTCTTATTGTATCCATCAGCAGCCATTTTTTTAACAAACAAAATTGCTATCAGGCATCGAAATGACACTGAGTTAAATAAACTCAGAAGAGGATAGAGATGCTTTCGTACCAATTCTCAAGGCATAATGCATCCCTAATTCGACAATTGGACTTTTGGAAAAGAACTGTCCAGGTGAAGGCCTGTTTGGAAGGAAATTGTCATCAGGTGCTCTGTTAATTGTAAAATACGATAACAGTTAGAATGGGCGCCATTTGTAGGCTTTAATTGCTAACAACGTGATGATTGCAAATGAGCCGCTTTGAATTGCCGCTCCATTTTCTTCCATGAGAGCCACAGTTTGGGCGGCACCACTACCACTGTAAACACTATTTTTTGTGCTTTAGACGTCGGCTGTTCGGAGAGAATGACTTGAATTGTTTGGGACACCTGCCGGAAAAATTGAAGACCGAGCTCGCCCTTCATGTTCATCTGGAAACTCTCAAAAAGGTAATGTAGAGTCACTGAAACAGACACGCTTTTATTTCACTTTAGTAATGCACTGGGTTGAAAAGCTGCAAGTTTGCCAGTGCTTTTGGTCTTAGTAAAGGAAGGAAGACGTGGAGATTTCCTGTAAGCTTGAGATTTATTTAGCGATCTTGAGTAAGTCGGAGTGGGAGCATCAGTGAAAGTAAAATAATTTATGGAACCAAGTTTTTGATTGTTTTCCTTTTCACTTTGCTCTGCACATTAAGACGCAATCTGGCCAAAATAAAACAAAGATTGATGTTTCTGCTCTCATTGCAGCACATCAAAGTCGCTTCATCGGTCTGTTCTCACTCTTAATATGCCATTCACTAATGGATAAACTTTTCGAAAATACAAGATTTTGTGGTCTTAAGACATTGGAGAGGTGAGTGTAGGCTCTACAGCCAGTTCATACACAATGAAATCCCACTGAGTGGTTTTGACTCATGGTTCAATTGCTTCTGCTTCCGAATAACGGAACCTTCGAAAGTAGATTAACTTTGTGGCACATTGAGAGGAATCCGACTAATACTGATGATAAGATTTTAGGCGATATGCGGTCGTTTTGTGGCAGTATTGTTTGAGCTTTTCTTAATACTGGCCCACGCCTCCATTCAGCGGAGCGAAATTCGAGCCTACAAGAAGACACTTGCGGAAAGACAGCTCACAAATAAAAAAAGGCTTAAAGCAAAGAAAACTTTGCTTTTCTATCTTATTTAAGGTGACGATATTTCACGAATGCAGACCGGAGTTCCTTCACGACCTAGTGCTCAAAATGAGACCCTACATTTTTACTCCTGGTGATCTGATCTGTCGAAAGGGAGAGGTTGCAAGGGAAATGTTTATCATAGCGGACGGAGTACTGGAAGTTATAGGGTAAGTCATGCATCTTCGACAGAGGTTCAGCGCAAATCTTGCGAAACCCACCCTTATTACTGCTCCACCAGGAGCGGGCCCTCCAGTATCGCTACTCACCATTTTGGCTACTTCTACAATGATTGGTAGTGATTGTTAGGGAACGATTTCTCTAGTTATTCAAAATGTTAGTTATCATGCTAGAAAGGTTTTGTTATTTACCTACATTGGTTGAGGTTCTGTTGAGGAGGAGAATGGTCAGTGTTTTGATGGCAGCTTCGCTGTCTGGGGAGGCAGGATGCTGATGTGGAGATGGCCCATGAGGGAAGGTGTTGTTTGTGTTTCTCTCTAGACCTAGAAGAAACTCCTCCTCGATTCTAGTTGCAAGCATTTAATGAAGAGCGCTTGGATGACGGCAGTTATTTTGCCAAATTCATTGCATTCATATCTTGCATCATATTGCAATAAGTATGAAAATGACGAAATGGACTCTTGCATAGGATTAGCACCAATGCTAGCCAACTAAAAACCACTTATAGAGGTAGTCTGGTCTGATGTTTTGCTGATGCAATTGTTAGCCTTCTTGTTAGGGTGTTTAGGATATACCTTGAACATTTTTTAAAGACAATGGTATTCCATTCGAATCAGTGGAATCGTCGAAATGACTATGTGTAGTAAAGACTGATTTGGAACGAAACCAATTTTGGTCTCTACCAAGTTCGTTCACGAATTTGAAAACGTCATTCCCGAAAGTCTTTTTCGCATTGTCAGGCTTTCATTCTGCATACTGACGATTTATAGCTTGCGAGAACCAATCATGCTTAGCATTTTTACAAGAAATCAGCTTCGCCTCTTCCTTCGACACCCGCTCCTTGCGGAGGCACAGAAAGTGACCGATTAACTGCACTGCAGTCTGATGTCCTGTGTCCAAAGTAAGGTATTTCGTGGCTGTCGGATTGGTGCGATTAAACAGCGTCCATTATCGCCATACTTAAGATGTCGTTTGGATTTGCATCTCAGCAACTTGAGAGCGTGACGAGACATTCGAAGTTGGAAATGCATTGGCGATGGACGAGAAGTTGGCTTCCCGATTGATTCAAAATGACTTTTGCAAGTAGATGCAGTCAATTACAGTTTATCCGATTCAATAGAAGTAAGATACTGATGAGCCTTGTCGTTTTGCTGAGTCAGAGGATAAACATATCTTCAGCTTTCGTCTCCTCTATATCGTGGAAATCCCATTTATTAATATATTGTCCGAGTGTATCGGCAAGTGAGAAAAGTAAATCAAGCTTAATGTTTCAAAAGAAAACAGTGTCAAAATTTTGAGATCGTGCTAGGCATTTGCAGCCACCTAATTTAGGCTTTAATAATAGCTTTCTCAAACGCATCATCCCATATGCTGAAATGCTATTCGGAACAAACAACTGAAAGCGCTTTCTGTGCAAGTATGAAGTGAATCATAAATATTGCCTCAGCAACTACCAGTAAGGCTATCAAAAGAGGTTGATGGGGGCTCGCCACAGCCCATCTCACTTCACACTCAGTCGAAAATCGCAAAAGCTTGAGTCCCCTGAAAGTGACCGGAATGCACCGCCTGGGTGCTCACACAACTGCAAAGAGGGATGTCCAACTTTTAGCGTACACATAAGTTTTGACTTTTAAAACGCAGATTCTGGGATGCAGTTTTGCTCAGCAAAAACGATAATTCATTTAAAGCGAAGGTCTATGATGAAGGCACAAAATAACCCACCAAAATGATCACTATCGTCACCAACATTTTTACGATGTTGATAGCGACTAAGTATCGAATAAACGTTGTTTACACCCATGGATGTGCGTTGGAGGTGTCAGAATTGCAAATGAGTCCTCTCATTGCGGCAGACACGAAGACGAGATTGTAATTTATTGACCTCATGGGGAACCTGCAATCCAAAAAATGCGTTTGAAGCTTCATTCGGTGTTCGGCTCCTTTTTCACCATTAGTTTCCTCACTTTGGTCTAACTGAAAGTCAAAGCAATCAAAAAGAATTCTAACAGACGAACATTCACGTCATTTTGGATTGTTAAAAGGAGGAAAGTCATTTGTTAGATTGACTCAATTGTAAAAATATATTTTCGTTTAGTAAAGCTGGCATAGTACTCAAGCGCCTGGAAGCAGGGGATTTCTTTGGCGAAATTGGAATTCTTTGCATCAATGGTGGTGGCAACAAGTAAGTTTCATGTTGATTTCATACCGTCCTTAATCTATGCTGATAAGCAGGGAACCCTTCTTTTGGGCTTTATTATTCGCAGACGAACAGCAGACGTACGAGCAGTAGGATATGCGGAACTATTTGTGCTTTCACGGGAGGATGTGCTTTCAGCTCTCGCCGATCATCCAGATGCCCACGTGCGTAGACCTTGATAATTTGTTTCCTCTCAACCGTAGTTCACTTTGTGGTGTCTATCAGAGTGATGGTGTTAAGTTGTGCAATGACGCCGCATGCGTGTCTAAGACATGCTCTTTGGTGCGAGGAGACACTTGCCTTTGCTCAGTTAACAAGAATAGGTGCAATCACATCAATCTCAATTGCTGATGCAACCAAATTTTATGTATATTGGCGTCCCAAGATTTCCCACCAGGTGAGAAAGGCAGCGAGTGAGCCTTAGCTTTGACCGAAGACCAGTCCACGCGTTGTAAAGCAGGATAAACATCCAAGTAACCGCCACATGGTCACATAACTAAAGCATTACAATGTTCTTCGCCAATTCAGACCATAATAATGGAGCATGCAACGCAGAGGCTGATGGAGTCCAAAAGCCGGGAAGACGCTCAGGTTTGCCCTGCATTTTTTTCCTCTCAGGACTTGGTTTTAGATCACATTAAATCAACAACCAACTGACCTCGCCCCTTCTGGTACGTATTCTGCTTCTTCCTTTTGTGCTGTCCATTTGTAGTGCAAACAATGACATTTCCTTTGTGAGACGCGCCTATGAAAACATATTCATAAGCTAGGCCAATGTTTGTGCTTCAGTCGGTGTAGTCCACACATCACATTACAGCAAACATTCCACACTTATTGTGAATACTAACCACAGTTTCAGAAAGCTCCTTTGTTTCCAGCCTAATCTCATTTTTGACTTGTCAAAGTCCACGCACTCCCCACTCGTTCCTCGCATAGAGGGCGGTCACCTACTTGCCTTACCTGTTACGTGTTTGCATACTGAATGAACTTTTCTGAAGGCACAACCTAAGCTTACCTGTTCAAACAGTTTCTGCAAACGCTAATGTGCTATGTGACCAAAATATGTGGATGCATTCTTTCCCCATAGTTCACTGAAGCCGTCAAGACTGAAAATTAGCTACTTTTGTCCAACTCAGTGCGGTTCGAGGATTTTAAAGTTGAATCACTGACACGTATCGCGTTCCTAATGCGAAAGTCCAAGGATGGGTGGCCCTCTGTATGATATGAACACATGGTAAACCTGACCCCAAATTCTGAGACACCAATGTCCCTCACCCCACCCCTAACTATCTCACATGTGTCCAAATAACCTTCACAAGACAAAGGAGTGCACTAGCAAGCATTGAATGTACCAGAAAGTGCAAATTAAGTCATCCGATTGGAAGTTCTCACAATCTTGTCATGGAAACGCTCTTTCGAGGTTGTAAATAACTTCAACAAAAATACATTCATGTAAGATACCGAGGTGAGCACAACTTCACGGAAAGAAGACAAACGCTCCAGGTGTGCGAACACAGTGGACTGTCTATTGGCAGTAACACTTGTACTTAGGGTACCCTACTAATCATTTCACTATGTGTCTGCTCATCGTAGCTACAGCAACTTTTTAGTCTTCAGTCCTTAGAAAAATGCCTAAAAGTCTCCCCTCATAGCTCATAGTTCTTTGACTTAAGAAATCGTTCGATCTGAATTCCCAATATGCCTACCAATTTGAGTTGATGCAACTAAGGGATTACCATTTATGAGGCCCTGTATCTATGTTTGCGCATGGTGTAGAAGGAACGACAGCGTTGCAAGGTGTCAAGGGGGAGGGCAATTGGACGAATGAGGACTTGCACGACATTCCATTATCCACCCTGCACGAATTCGCTCTACCCGGGCCCAGCAGACCCACGGGCGGCGCTATACCTGCAGTCCACGCCGCCTCAACTTCCACTGCCCCATCACCCGCGGCATCCGAGGCGCACTATCAAACATTCGCTCTGAAGTGAGTGCGCTTCCACTCTTTTTATCGGTTCTGCGTAACTAGTGTTCTATCTGTTAACACTGAGGTGCACAAACCGTTCCTACCTTCTCATGGCAGAATTTGCAATTCTCTGTGCATGTCTGCTTCCATACTATCCACGAGTTTGGCGTACTGAAATGCTACTTTGATTGGCCAATTAATGTGCTACGAAGGAGATATTTTTTTCTTTACTAGAAATTGTGAGAAGCTTTCCTTGCCTAGAGCATTTTAACTGTGCTGTTACTCAGTTCCATGCTTAGGCGCATGCTAGCCACAGTCAAGTCGAGTGGGTTTGCCTTGAAACATTATCTTAACTCTTCTACAGCTAAACCGTCGTTGTGGTCGGTAGTGCATTTGTCACAAACGCTCTTTCAGTTCATGCTTGGAAATTTGAGTCGTCTTGTGCACTCGCTTGTACGTCTTGAAGCAAGATGAATGCTTCCCTCCTTTCAGTAGGGCCAAAGTATCGCACATCACAGATGTTACTGCTTTGCAAGCCTACAGCCTAATTCTTTTGTCTGTCGGGAGGTTGAATCCTGCCGATGATGATGATGATGATGATGATGATGTAAAGTTAGGTGACCAAGGGAAATGATACAAATCAGAATCATATTTGATGAAGTAGATTATTAATGGTTCTTGAATAAGTAAGATGAGTGAAGTGTTGTTGTGGAATTGTGGTGCGGTGGATGGTGATATTGAAAGTGAAGAAGGTGAGTTCCAAAATCCAACTGCAAATTTCCCAACACACCGGATGTAGTGGAGATGCAGCAAATATTGGATAAGAGGCTTTGCAAAAAAGTGGTGGGAAGAGGCCTTCAAATGTCTCCTACCAACTATTGGCCGGCTGTTACTGTCATTTAAGTCGCCAAATGCACTAATAAGTTCTGTGAATGAGGTCAAAGGTGAGCATGGTGGTGTCACATGATACGAACACAGCAATTCCAAACCGACTGAGCTGGATATGTCACTGTACACAAGTTGAGAGCCTGTCATTTGCCTGGCGATTGATAGTGTGTTCAAGATGAATGTGTTTGATCGGCAAGCAACATAACCGTTTTTCTTATCTATCCTGTTTGCAGGAAGAGCATTTTTGTAAAACGAGAAAAAGGTGCCATTAATGCTCTCGCCGAATTAAACCAATTTGTTGAGGAGGCAATGGTAGGTCTTTGCATTTTCGCACCCGACTCTGCCATTCGTCTAGTTCCTCCTCGTCAACTGTTCCGAAAGAATGAGTGCAAGGGACGAGAGGATAAACGAACTTGTGGCTGAAAACATCTCACTTAGACGGAAACTAAAGGAGTGAGTTAGAGCTCTTTTGTTCAATGCTTGACCCATTTTCTACGCTTTGAACGTAATGCAAGTCATCGTCTCTCAAAACTGCAGCATTCAAAACCATCATTCCATTCCCACGCGTAGATTGAGGTTATACCTGCTTTTTTAGTTGAACGGTCGAGCCCACCGAAGTTGCCGTGCTCGATAGCCTGACCGTTGAGATGGAGTGAGAAGGCCAGTTGGTTAGTTCGTTAGCCTACCAACTAGCCAGATGATGAGAAGGCGGACTAGGTTAGGAGTAGAAATGGCGTTTAAGCAGACAGGTAGTTTGCATTCTATTCGTGATGAAAGTGTAGTGGCTGATTTTAATTGTAGATTGAATGAAATGCGCTCAGAATTGACGAAGGACTGGAAATTGGGCGAGGTGGCTTAGGCATCCATCTGGAAATACCACTCGTACACTTCGGGAAGCGGCGTTCCGCTTTTTAGCGCAAAATGCAACTTTTATGCTGACTATTTTCGGGGTCGGACATTGTCCTGCCTCTATCCTCAAAGTACCGCATACAGCAATCATTACTCTTACTTGGTTTTCGCTTTTCAGCCCTCTTGAATTTTTGTATACCAATAGTTGTGCTTATCCAAGAACCAGCTAAAAAGCTCTGTGCACACGTGGATATAACATACTATGGCAGTAGATCAAAACCAGCGCTATAAAGGGAAACATGTTGGCTGCTTAGATGCAAAGTCAGTGGAATCCTCTCTAAGACACGGATTTTATTCTGTAATGGATAGTTGAATACAATAAGACTGCTTATGGCCTCGGCTTTGTCACATCAATCCGCAAGGCAATGCCGCAGGCGGGCACTGGAGAGTGCCAAGGAAAGGAAGAGGGATATAAGGATATTGGTTTGTCTAAAAAGCAAATTTTCTTTATTCTTTAAATCACTGTTCACATCCCACCTATCGACCCCTATGCCGCATCGTAACAAAGACCATTTCCTCATTCCTCTTCACTGTCCATAGTTTTTGTTTAATGTTGTCATTTCTATCGGCATTGGAAATTTCCACTGCACTTTCACCTTCACCCAAATAATCATCACAATCACCGAAGTGAGAATTATAAAGGCCAAGTTTAGGAACAATATCCAGCGTGCTGTTTGAAAGGAGACAAAGGTACGATTTGCAGGGATTACGCACATCAATGGTTGTAATAAGTCCAACCTTGATGCAAGCCAGAATATAAAAAGATAACAAGTTGGGACTAAAGCAATGATGGAAACCATTTTATCCCAATTTAACAAATCAGTTGTCTGCATTTAATTGGGACACCATGGTTAATTTTAGCGTAATGATGTCAGTGAATCAGGGTCGGTGGACAGAAAGGGATAGGACAAAGACAACGGCACGCTACTTATGCATGAACTACCATTTCAGAATAAAAATATCTGACACAATTACAGTCTGTACTTACTGTGCTCATTGTTCTCCGCTCCACACCATCCTTTCTGGCGACAGTCCCATTTATTCCCCTCCTCCATACGACTACAAGCAAGCTGACTGCTTGTGGGTTATTTGTTGCCTTAAAATGAAGAACTTCAACGCAGCAGCCTTTGAAAGTACTAACAGAGTGGTTCCTCTCTGCGCTGACATGATCAATCTTCGTGCCAAGCTCGAGATTTTAAATGTGTTCTCCCTTCTCCCCTAAAAGGCGCACTTAATGTGACGCCTTTTCAGTCATCATTTCCTTTGGCCATGCTTTCGAATGCATGTCTTTTTCCCAGTAGTGAGCAGACGTTGTTCTTGTATCCGACCGACAGAGCACCTTTGTAGACTCGCATCTTGTTGGGGTTGTCGTTGTCTAGTTTGCAAGTGAGCAAACCTGCACTACGCGAAGCGGGCCTTTGTTTCCTTGATGGTGGAGTTTGGGCTGATTTCCAAGTAAGACAGCCAATATGAAATTTGTATTAAGTCTTCTTTCGGGAAAATTTACCATCCACGACCACGTCGCTTACTTTCATATCCAGTGAAAACGAGGAGCTTTCGATTGAAGTTGGGCATCGCTGCAATCGGTGTACAATCGTGGACTACCGTCGCTTTTCTTTAGCAACAGATCGGAGAAGCTCGTGGCTTTATAATTTAAGCTCCAAACACCCCTTCAATCAGGCAGTTTACTTCCGCCAGCAGAGGAGGTGGTGTGTTTCTGGGTGGTCGCCAACGCCTCCTGGCATGTGTGCTGCAAAAACAAATTTGGGATGAATCGCAAAGCATTATTTAGGCCATCAGTTTTAACTGATATTAAGTCGTCTAGGGCTGCATCATTCCTTGAAGTTTGTACCGTCAAAGAATGTGAGGTGTCATTAGGCAACGTCATCGGCGTAGTCCCGACCTTTGCCAACCTTACCCCTCCCGTGACTACTTCTGAATGAGGCAAGCTAATTAATTTCATTGTAATGCTTTGTTAGTGAAGACGCCTGTTTGATTGGCGGTTATTTGTGCTATTAATCAGACTCTTGTACGCGTGGGCTGGCTCTTGGACCAGGCCGAAGCCCAATTCCCTTTTCTCCCCCTAGAACCCATGCTGTTAGGCCAACTTAATGCCTTCTTCTACCTAGACGGAAGTATCAGGGTGCTACAGAACAGGTGTAATTTCTTGCATTGTTGTAGTGTTTCATCGTCCCAATTTATTATTTTACTTAAATGCTTTCCACTCCTGGTCCCTCTAATGGTGGACTAGAGGCTTATTTACTTAAATGGTATTACTAATATGGGTTAAGGGCTCAGAGACATTAGGCTAAGATTATTAGTGTTCTAAATGACACATTGTTGACTTTGGCAGATCGACCCCATTTCTTATTAGTCGACGGAAGATGTCCTCTTTCTTACCTGGCAAAGGTTTGGGTTGGATTGGCTTACTAATGTCAACAATGTACGTATTTTTTCCAAAGGCCTGAGAAACTATATCAGTATGACTCTTGGCACGACCTCTGCCACACCAAATGAGGGGCATAAACTGTCTGATAATGAGCGTCACTGTTCGCTCAACTTCCTTCTGTTCCCTGTTTGTGCTAAGCGTAGATCTATCCGATTCATTGATTTAACCTCTCAGTGATAATTAACATTACTCTCTGTTTAACTACATTCGACGGCTTTCAGCGCATGTTTTTTGGCTAATTATCAGAGGCTTAAACACGCAATAGCATATTATATGTGATTTCAAAAAAGTGATGCAACTTTGAATGAAATCCACAAAACGACCCGGAAGCATCACTGATCCTAGTTGCTGTTATCGTACTGGGGACAATGAGATTAAGCACCCAACGAGCCCATTTGCTAAAAGGCTCTTAATGTGTCATTGTTGTATGGCAAAGCGATTACTTACAAGTGCTAAATTTATCACCCATGAAAAGCTAAGAGTAGACGCACATAGGCAACAGGCATTTGTCCAGCATTTGTGAACTGACGGGGCCTCTCCGCCCATACAAGTAACGTATCAATGACTTCTGGACCCAATATCCGTTTGCAGTGGACATAAGCTCATTATTTATAACCAGCCAATGATTGGGGCATTTTGAGGGTTAAAATAGCTTTTATCGGACGAAACAAATCCCACTAATCTCAATTTACAAGGCAGCCGATCAATCGGAACACCACGAAAATACTTAAACCGGATTTATGAATCACAAACTCATCATTTTTCGAATCTTGCCTCTGCTGTTACTAAACTACATTGAGTGTTGAGTTACTCATGTATGTACAGCAATAAACAAACGATCCTAAACGTGTAGGGCCTCGAGTCTTCCCACTAAGTAGGGGAAGACTAAGTTCGCCTGAATGCACGTATTTTAGGGGACGAGAAGGAACTGGGCTTTGGTATGGCTCGAAGGTCAGCCCACCAGTACAAGTGCATGGCAAAAACCAAAGCACCCGCCAGACATCAGGTGGTCACATAAACAGAGTACTTTAAAACAATTTAAGACTTCAATGCACTGATTGTTCCTCGTTTGTGCAACCACCTGATATCTGACGAATACTTGGGTATTCGCTTTTCCCTTCTCGCCATGCCAAGACTCTATCTCTTCTTCCCTTCGTAGAATGTACGCATTCTACCTAAAGTGATGCCTTCTTCTACGGGGAGGAAGTCTAGAGGCGCTGCACACACTTTGTAGACCGCACTTGTAAGATGCAAATTCATCCCATCAGCCTGTTCTCCGGCAGTTCACTAAACTGTTTTATGTCACAGCCACTAATGAGGAGCTGATATGGTCGCATGGTACTGTTAGCGTGCTTCAAATGGCCTTAGAATATAGGTGTCATTTATTACACGACTAATCTCAGCTCATTAATGATACTGTTTTACAGAGCCCGGCGATAAAATACATCAGTGGAACCGTGATTCAAATCGCGTTCGCACACCTCACCTTGCCACATTTCACACGGGTCAAAACTGCCTTATGGAAGGTGAGCAAAATCAGTTACCCAGTATTCCAGCTCCGAATCCGCAAATAGCATTTCGGGTTGCTGAAGTAGCAGCATGTGCAAGTATCGCCCTAACCAAAACTGGAATTTGGTTGTTTATCAGAGGATATTCATGGCTCGCCTCAACTCTCCACTGGGGCGTCAGACTAGCAGAATTTGTTTTCATAAACCGCCAAGAGCTACCTCAGACAACTACTCGCGCACTATAACTTATGAAATGTGCAAATTGACTACCAGATTAAAAGGCATAGTCGCCTCAGATTCACAAGAGCTAACAAGTTTCAACGAAAGAAAGCCACAATCAACAAGCAAGTATAAATCCGTTTCGATCGCATCCCAAGACCTTAGATCTTCTTGAACTCACTTACTAAGAGTCTTTCCTTTTGCTAGATGGTGATATTGAATGTTTCGCTAAAAGTAATGCACCTAAAATACCACTTCATTTCTAACTCAAGCACACCATTGTAACCGTCTAATAACTGCTCACGGTTATTTTTGAAACAGCCTTCCCACCCCCTCCCCAAAGGTCAAAATTCAGCACAAAATATTAGCACGGATATAAAACGTGGCAACTATTTCAATGGGCCGTCTAGTCACCAAACTTTCCCGTAGCCATGAGATCCAGCTCCACTGCTTCACAAATTCACCCCATGTGTTAACGTGTTCCCGCCTGCCTTATCACAATGCCGCACCAGAACCCCAAATTAGGTATATTTTTGCATGTGAATATGATTACTGCTTGCAAAGAAGAAAATCGGGCCTTGTTTTGATGGAGTTGGAGGACAGCCTGTTGCGCAGCTACCTCATATATCCCACCTTAGTCGACTGTGCCATTCAGTTGCCCATCCGAAGGGTAGCTCTGGGACTTCACTTTCCCAGTCAGTTGTATGACTTCTTCAAACAAACCTTAATGCATGTACGGCGTGGCGAGCATCGTCACTTGCAGGCATTCAACGGCGACATATCATCCAGTGTCCTAAGCCTCCTCGACAGTGATCAAGGTAATGGCAAACAGCCCCACCTCGTCAGCGTCTACTAACACTGTTATGGTATAATCAGCTTTTCAATTCCCTCGACCACACCAGCAGCGATTGGATCCGAGGCCAACTTCTCCAGTTCCAATGCGTAGGCCAGCGACTTCCTGACCTCACTCCCGCCTCTACTTCAACTTCCCACTTCCATCGAATCAATGAAGGTAACCTACACATGCAAATATTAATAAAGTATTTCGCTCTCGACACTTGGATGCCAATTTGAATTAATTGGCACAGAGTATCTCAACATTTTCAGCCTTTTTCTGATCATCAGTGTCAGCTGCCAATTATAACACCACCTTAGAATATACGACGCTTTACCAACCAAATACATCATCAAACAGAATTTCCTCTACCATAATAAAAATGAAACACAGAACCACTTAAGATTACTCACAAAACAGAACATGAAGACTGTGAAGGTAGACGCGAGTGCCGTTAACTTGTATGACCCGTAACCCAGTGAAGGGCAGCACTTCAATAACCCTTCGCGCTCAGAAATGTCAGATCAGACTTTCACAACAACTTCTGCCCTTAGGGTAAGAAAGCCGGCCTTACTACTTGACCACTTCCCAAATGAGTACGAATCTATACCATAGCTGAAACCTTCGGCAACGATGCATGTGCAATAAAATCTTCCCACTTCACCACTATCCAGTCACTTGAAACGAGTAGCGGCGCAAACTTCTCCACACAACCAAATTCCACGTTTCATTATACCTTTACTACCATTAAATCAAGTATGTACCATGGAGTTGAAACTCCGAATGTGCCCCAAAACGTTGGATACAATGAGACTTTAATCGTTCCCAAATCCAAATGCGCCAGGTAGCCGGGCTACGTTACAAATAACCAAAGTTGCTATGCTTAAAGATGATAATTGGAACCCTAGAAGTACACCGGAGACTAAAACATTTCAGTCCAAAAAAGCCCACGTTTCGGAGGATTAGCAACCTTGGTAGCAGCGGAACAATAGTGAGGTGATTACTGATTAGACACCACACTCAACTTTTCTTTTGTTATCGCCACGTAAAAGTAATAGCACTAGCACAATGTTTCTAGCGAATCACTTGCAAAAAAATTAAAAAAAGCATACGTCTGGATTGGACGCTAAGTTAAAATTGATAAATAAAGTAAAAAGCACAAAGAGTAAGAAGAATTTTATTTCAGGACCAATCAGCAAAAAAATTTGAATATGAAGTATAAGAGTGAGGCATTAATAGTCGTCTCCACGAGTCACAACCTCTTTACATGTAGGTCGCAAAATGACTGTGTGTTCCCATTGAGCCGTGTAGCTATTCCTTGAGTCGACAAGAGGTGGATACGCCTTGATGACTCCCATGTTAACCAGATTTTTGAGTCCCATCAAGTACTTTGTTTCTCCTAGACGATCCAACCATCGGCGACAGAATGCCAGCGTTCCGAAGTGCTTATCTATGGTTGCCAACAGCTGCTTTGCACGAGTTTGCCTAAAACAACAATTGCTACTGCTAGGTTTCAGTAAAAACCGTTGCTTCGCATACGTCAAGAATGGAATGAGACTAAATCCCATCACAAGTAGATAGGCAAGAAAAACAGTCTAACTGCATTTATAATTTGGGGAAGACGTAGTGCGCTATTCCATGCCTCTCAAACGGCATCCGCCACTGTGCCAAACGCAAAACAGTTTATTGCCATAGAGGGGCCGATGCATAGCCTGGGGCAGTGCGATGCAAAATCACAGAAAACGGGCCTGCCATTTGTAAGGCGCTATTCTCTTCCGTCGAAATAGAGCGTAATTATATCCCAACTTGCCTGAGAGGTACATGACCAACTTCAAAGTCCTTCATGTAGTGTGAGCATTCCATATCATCATGTACCACACCCTTGCCAGTACTGCCAAATGTTTCAATTGCGTAGATTTCGTTTTCCTAATCAAAGAAAAATAGAAGCGTATGTCGCCATTGAAGCGAGCCCTACATTAGAAGAGAGGAGTGTCATAGCTATTCGCACATACCTGCACAAGTCCTAATAACTAAAATTCATGCACAGAAGCTTTAACAAAAGACAAAAAATGTCTGAAGGCAGCAAATACTTTTATGCTTCTCCCTTTGACCTAAGACAGGACTTAACAACGTCAGACAAAACACGTAGCGCATCATCCTGACCCAGCAATGAGAATTGAGCCTAAGTCACTTGCATTAAAATGCGCTGGAAAGCTTACCAGTGATGTGTGAATATCAATGAAAACTGCTTAAATAAATGCATCGACGGAACCAATAGAAAAAACCAATAACGTGCACAACAAATACACGACTGTATTAACGAAATTACAAAAAATCCCACAGCTTAGGTCTGGTATGTCTCAACGACGGTCAATTCGAATGGGAGACAGATATGCCAGCTATAAAGAATAAGGAAATTTAGTGTAATTGCTGCCCATTCGAGTTTAGCGCTACCTCTGAGTGAATCCGATAAGTGAGCAGTGTCGTTAAGCATTTTTAGGTGCTGTTTAGACAAGCTTGTAAAGAACAAGTCAGTATCAACTGAATATCATGCGAGCAAAAGGAACAAGACATACAAACTTATAACAACCAAAGTGCACTAATTGGCCATGGAACTTAAGCTGCTCAAAATGGCACATTTCCCATAAATATGACTTCAGATGCTTGAAACAATCAGAAAAATTCGAAAAATTCAAAAAAGTAAACCCATTGTCTTAAGATCTCAAAGGGTTGAGTTATGTAATTTTGTGATGGATGAAAAAAGACTGAAAATTAACTTGACATGAAAAATGCTTGGCTTAGGTTCGGCATTTAACCTCCATTCGAGTCTGTTCACCACCTCGAACAATAGGCACAGACTTCCCAGCGTGAATTTGATACGGACCGACGGAGTGACCATTGAGATTCCGAATGGATTTTACTACAAGGAAGAACGCATGCAATACAGTCGTATGACAAAGTCCAAACCAAATCGCCAAATGAGATAGGCACTTTGTCTCGGATCTCAGCATACTATTATACAATCTACAACATCGATAAAGAGTCCGAGACCACAAAATCCCAGATGGAATTCCAATTTATGTGGCCTGTTTATTTCCAAACATTAAGAAAAAAGACTTGGGTAGCCCAAGAACAAGAACAAGAACAACAACAACAACAGGAATAAAGGGCAAGAACATTAATGACCTACCCTGATAAGTCTCACCATTCAGTTCAACTTCATAAGATTCCATAACTTCTTGAATGGCCTCACCCACGTCACACAATCGGACGTCAATACCAGCCTCCTGAAAATCATATGACTCTGGACACCAAGACGGTCTCACAAAATACAAGGAGAGGTCTTCAAATACTATTCCCATGGTTGCCACAAACTAGACCAAATTCGAAACTACAAGAACCTGACTAATAACAATGCTCCGGAAGACAAACCGAAGACACATTGAGTATTTCGTAAATACAAAACAAGCACTTAAAATGAAGCGCCTTAAAATCATCCAATTGAGAAATCCAACATAATTAAGGACTTACTGTCGAAATCAATCTACGGATACATGCGGCAAGTCTCAAAAATCGGTATTTAACGAATAGGGGGATGTTCCTTGAAAGTGAGGGAAATGCCAGAGGGCCAAAAACTTACCTAATTCTACAAAACCTAATTAGTTAAAATATCATAAATACACTGCTGACATTCACCTTAATACCCGTGTTTGTAGCGTCCCTGACAGCCTCCACAAGCCTATCATACCGTGGGTTAAAGTGAACCGTAAAGGCGCAGTCTACAAGGTTGCCTAGGAATTTCAAAATGGTGACAATGGTTTAAATATGGCGTCAGCATAAATAACACAAAGATGGCACCAAAGTATAAACAGGTGGTCATTTTCAAAAGAATTCGTAAATGGTTGAAATTAACCTAGACATATTAAACAGGAATTAAGTGAAAGTAGCCTCCCCAAAGGTGCTCACCGTTTACATGGACTCCAAAGTCTACCTTACAAACATCATCATATTGGAGAACTGTGTTATCACCAGCATTCGGAGAGTAATGAGCAGCGCAGTTATTAAGAGAAACGCCTGTCGGAAAGGCCAGACCAGCTTGAAGACCATTTTCGTTGATTAATTGTCGACTAGTAGCCTCTAGTTGCTCGCAAAAATCGAAAAGGCGGACACCGGGCTTCAGAAGAGGTCGCATGTATTGCCTCACGGTTCTGTGTACTTCAGCAGCTTGTCGAAGATCTTGGTAGATCTCAAGACGTGCTTCATCATGTAAGCGAAGCTCTTGGGAGGTCATTCGGTTTACAGCTGTCCGACTACGGTTTTAGCAATTAAGTAATTAGCAACAATAGTGACAACCAGCCAACTAAAATAAAACCTTACAGAAAAGGCAGTCAATTGAATAATCAAGTCCGCATAAGCCACCCAGCAGCCTTAGAAGAGTTATCCGGGGGATCAAAGGGAATGAAAACTTTGCTATTTACGTACCCATCTGTCAGCGGTGTATACTCCATTATCTCACCGAGTGGGAAATCCTTGTTTGGGAATAGTTGACATATTGGCACCGTAGGAGGATCGGTCTGCTTTAAAACTGGTAGATAAAATATGTGATACGCATAATGCCTACTATGTTTCTTCGGTTTTCGCCTTTTTGCGGAAGAATTTTGCAACTGAGGCACTTCAACTTTTTCCGCAAAGTGAACCTCATCCGCAGCATCTAAAATACCAGTAAATCAAATATCCAACCTTCAGGGCAACCGTCCGCATTTACAGGGCTCACTACCTCGTGGAGTTCCGTGGTTAATTTGCCATTCTTTTTGGGTTTATTTTTTCGCTTTTTCTTATGAGAGACCACCGCTTCCGTAACCTTATTTGGTGAGTCACTTGTTAGTGACATTTTCAACTGAACATCACTCTCCAATTCTGCAATCGCCTGCCCCACGCCTCCACAACCGGAACCCGCGCTCATGCTCATCCACAACTTTTAAAATCTCGCCTAAAATAATTTATTAAAACCAAAAAATTAGCATTAAAAAGTCAATTGGGTTTCGCTTTAAATCTTAGCGTTGCACCATGATAGTTGTCAGCGTATTGGATTTCATTATGGTAAATAAAGTGACTTTGAGCATGAAAACCCCTAGAAAGTCGTTAAGGATAAAAGTAAAAAATGTGATGTGAATTTTACACAAATTATTTAATTTTGAACTTCAGTGAACCCAGTATTCAAATGAAGACAGTAGATGACGTTAGATAATAAAGGTTAAATTTTTACTTACTAATAAGTCAGGTAAATACGATTTGGAAATCTAAATACTACATTGATGATGCTCTCCTGGCGTCCCAAGACTTCCCACGGGGTGAAAGAAGGTGGTAAGCGGAACTGGATACATGTATTCCGAAGGAGACAGAACAAATGGGCCTGAGCATGGCTTGTCTATAGAACACAGAATATGATGAAGCTAGTAATACTTCGTTATGTGACCACGAGGCGTCCAGCGGTCACTTTAGGATTTGTCTGGCTCTTGTACACGTGGACTGGCCCTCAGGCCATGTCAAGGCCCATTTGTCCTGTCGTCTTCAGAAAACATGCATACAGCTGCACTTACTGACTTCTTGTTCCGACCATGAAGATTCGAAATGCTACAAAGTCAAATGCAGACGTCATTCTTATCCCTTTCGTTGTGATTGATTAAGAGATTCTCCGTCACTGGAGTATGTGCGTCTACTCCACACCGTAGGTGCATGCCAAAAGCGCTATGTACTAGGGTAGAGGTCATTAAAAAAGTAGTCGGTTAGCTTTCCGCTGCCACTGTAGCATCCCGAGATCTTCTGGCCGGTATAAGAAGTCAGCAAGTGCATGTATACATGTATTCGGAAGACGACAGCATAATTTGGCCTGAGCATGGCCCGAAGACCAGCTCACATGTACAAGGACCAGATAAATCCTAGTGACTGCAGAGCGTCACTTTCGGTTGCATAAACAGAGCACTGAAAAAATAATACGATTTATAGGACATATGTAGTGCTTAAAAATGTGATGTGGAATAGGAATAGCAGTCCCGTCGTATCTTTTGAGGCCACCTTCATTTGCTATATTTGCTTAGTTTTTCTTTTTATATGTGTAACGGGTAAAAATATTTCTTTGTTTTGTGGTGTTTATTGAAGTGTGTTTGTCGAAACCGTTTAAAATGCAAATTTTTTCAATTTTGTGTTGGATTTCATAGACAATATTTGTTAAAGGTTTTTCGGTAAGTTAAATGTGTATTTTTCTGTTTTTCAAACTATTTTCGCAAAATTTATCGAATTTTTAAATTGTTTTACGCAGCTTGTAATTTCTAACTTGCGAATTTTTAATTGCGGGATGTTGTATTGGGGCTATGAGAAGGATGGGCTTATAATAAATGATCTCTATCGGTTGATTAGGAAAATAGGCTGTGGATCCTTTGGAGTTATATACCTGGGTGTGAATCAGAAGAATGGAGAGGTATTTGAATATTTTCCTCGAATTTTTTGAGGAAGTTGCTGTGAAAGTAGAGAGGAATTCTGCGCGACATCGACAATTGGTATATGAAAGCAAAATCTATCGTATTCTTAACGGTGGCATAGGCATTCCTCGCTTAAGGTAACATATCCCTTCAGTAATTGCCTGTAGGTGGTGTGGAAGTCAGTTCGATCACTACTTTTTGGTGATGGATTTACTGGGACCGAGTCTCGAGGATTTGTTTTTGTTCTGCGCTAGACGTTTTACCAATAAGACGGTGCTTATGCTTGCCGACCAAATGCTGTCCCGTGTTGAATTTCTTCATCGGCGGTGTTTCGTCCACAGGGACATTAAACCTGATAATTTTCTCATGGGGATTGGTCGTCATTGCAACAAGCTTTATATAATTGATTATGGTCTAGCAAAACGCTATTGTTCCTGGAACAAAGGGCGACATATTGAATATAGGTTGAATTCGTATTGTATTTCTATTGTTCTTAGGGATGATAAGAACCTTACAGGGACTGCAAGATACGCGAGTATCAATGCACACCTTGGAATAGAACAATCTCGAAGGGATGATTTGGAGTCTCTTGGTTATGTACTTATGTATTTTAATCGTGGAAGTCTACCGTGGCAAGGTCTGCGGGTAAGTCGCACCTCTATCTTAATCATTGTTTTCCTTAACTAGTTTTTTGTTAACTCTTGTTTATACTACATAGATAAATTGTATTGCTTCAAGACGTGTTTGTTTATAGGGTTGTTTAGTGGCTTTTGTAGGTTTCGTTAATAATATCAGTCTCTCCTAGATAATATGTGAATCTAGTTAGTACGAACAGAGACTGGCATTCATGTTTAAATCCACTGTTTGGTTTGGATTCGGACTTTGTAAGCCATCAAATTCACTACGCTCATGTATTTGTATAGCATTAACCATTAAACACTGAATGGCTTCTTGAAGGATCAATGAACTTTATGGCTCCTTTTCCTTGGTCACTGCATCACTTTCTCTCTCTAGTTTTGATGTTACTTCCTCTAGCTACCGTGCATGTGTTTAAATTTAATATATTTATGCTGCAGTAGCTTGGTTATTGCAACTCCTACCGTCCGAAAGGCTACATTCGAGTGTTATTAAAACATTCGTGTTCGTATTATTTCTCTAGCGAATCTGTTGACTATTTTTTTGGAGAAGGCATATGGCAGAGAAAACGGAATGGTTAGAAGCCTTGAACATTTACCTGTTACAATGAATGCCCATAGCATTGTCGGTGGCATTATTGGCATAGTATTGGATGTCTGATTATTGCCTCTGATTTTGGTTCCTTGGCATAGGTCTTTTATTTTTCTACCTGGCGTTATTAGCAGCAGCTAGTCTGCTGAGGTAGTAGTCAATACGTAAGGACCTTTGATGGGGTTTCTTCATGGGATGTAGTTCGGTTTCTGTTGTCATTCTCTTCAGCAAAAAGGACGGCTGATCTAACATAGATTTGTAGGAAGCAAAAGGGTTTAACGGGTACGAAAGACTAAGCGCTGCTTTAATGAGAAGCCTATTATTTTTGATTGAGTGTTCAATATCGCTGTAGTTGAATGTCGTTTTTTAATCGTTTTGCATAAGTCCAAGAGCTAAGCTTTTAAAACTTGTTTTTACAACCAGGGAAATACAAAACGCCAAAAGTATGAAAGGATAAGTGAAAAGAAAATTTCAACACCGGTGGAAACACTCTGCAAAGGCTTTCCAGCTGAATTTGCTATGTACCTGAATTATTGTCGTAGCCTTCAGTTTGATGAAGCTCCAGATTACTTGTACCTCCGCCAGCTCTTCCGCATTCTCTTTCGGACTCTCGGGCACAAATTTGATTTCCTTTTCGATTGGACACTATTGAAAAGGCATTCCGAGAAGCCAGGGGCCTCGACCGCTGGTGGAGCTGTTGCCGGTCCCGCAGAGAATCTCGTCGAGCCCCCTAAGACATCGCAGACCAATGAAGCGATGGCTACCAATCCCATCGAGTCCAAGTCCGCTCAAGTCGACAACCTAACAGGTGTGCCTTCTGGTAATAATACTCCCCCGGTGGGGGATAACACCCTACTCGCCGATCTGATCGATAAAGCCATCAAATCGTATATGGACAGTTTAAGAGCTTGAATTTTTTTCCCACATGCTTCTCACGTTTGTGAATAATTTCTTATGAAAAAGACGTCATTTTATCAAATCAATTATCTTTTCTAATGCCTGTTTGCTAGTTATTGACGCGGTTACACTTCCCGTGTCAACTTGTACTGCTCCAATCTGAAAAGCAGATTTGCGATGTATCATTGGCGGTCAATGGTCAACCACCGAATTGTACTACTTTTATCGTAGTTTATTCCGCACGAGGCGGTTCTTGTATGGGAAGTGGAGCTGCAGAGCTAGCTGGAAATGGAAGGTGAACTGTTGGTAGCGTGTCCTTGTAAGTTTGGATTAACTGAGATGCGGTGGGCCGAAATCACTACAGTGGTGTGATGATGACGGCGTGGGCAGTACTTTAAGGCACGCGCAAATTTGCCGTGATAGACGTCTTGTGCAACCAATAGGTATTTGGAATCGAGGGGACCGCTTCGAGAGTTCACACACCCCTCGAAAGGTCATTAGGCAGTGCACCTTGGCAACTCCTGTTTTGTTGCACCCCATTCTCAAATCTGCTGTGATTCACCGTGGGTTCTGCTTTGCAAAGTATTTCATACAAGTTAGGTATCAGTGGACAAAAGTAGTCTTGCGCTGGCATTGAATAATTCACAAAGTGCTTCTTGTTCACTAAACCACACTGAGGCGCATTCGATTTTGGCTGGACTTTTGGACATCGGTGAGTTATGTAGCAATCGACTGTTGGGCCATCGTTCTGGAGGCATGACATTAACACTGCAGATGGCAGAGTGGCACTTCCAATCATGTAAACTGAGGAAGCCTTCACTATCAAATTGGGACAAGAAGCTACATGACTTGTACGGCAAACTCGCTTGTTCCTCCATTTTCGTGTCGGTGTTGATAAGAGGCGAATTGAACGACGCAAACAAAATTCGTTTTCACGGTTCATTCCACTTTTAACAAATCAAATATGTACTCCTCTCTCGCAGGCAGTGAAAGCGTCGGTGCAGAGCAGAAGCAATAAAAACCACAAGTGAGAGGGATAAAGAGAAAGGAGACACAGGGGAGTCCTAAGTTGATAGCGCTTTAGTGTAGCACTGGATACAGAGGTGGGAGTGGTGGAGGAAAGAAATGAAGCAAGTGTAGTGTGTCAAGTGGATTTTATCACTGGGTACATGTGGATGAATGCGTGTGCATACGCACGCAGGGAACTAGAACCGGTTGATGTTTCTTACAGTAAAGGCAGGAAACAGCAGTCTTGTAGTGAATCCGCATGCCTTCAATTAGGTGACCCTAGGGCTGGAACACGAGGGAGGAGCTGATTTGCCAATAGTGTGGAGATGAGAAGGCAATTGGTTTGGCGACTGAGCCTACGTAAGCACACATACGGGATGGTGTTTATGTTTAAAAAACTAAATATACAGTGTGTATGTGTGCATGTTTAGATGGTGCGTGGATGTGGGAGTCAAACGAAAAGGAACAAAGAAAGCCGGGAGATCAGGACGCGGTGAGACAATCAGCTGTGCAAGCTTCTCTCGATGTCGGGAAATCATCTAGGCAAATCTAGGCGAGTGACACAACAGAGGAGCGCCTACGAAGAGTTGTCGGTGTGACCAGCGAGAAGGTAGATGTTGGAGTTGTTCAAGGACCCACCGACGGGACGACTCTCAACGACTATGTTTCTGAGTGCAAGAACAATAGCAATAAAGACAACTCAGTGAGTTTGTCGCTCCTACAATTGTGACTGTGGTGCACTTTCGCATGGGCTAGTAACGAATATATTGAGACTGGTGACATTACCAGATTAGTAGTGATTTCCTCGAGTGTCTCAGAATTTCACTACTGCAGCAAATTTAAATAATCACCTACGTAAATGATATCAGCAGCGATGTATTCCTAATAAAATAATAAAGGAATATTTTTTGCGCAAAAGTGAACACGAATGCATTCCCCAACAAGAGGAATCGTTTTTACACGATATGTAAAACAATTATCAAGTCTTGTTTTCATCTGACAACTCCATACCAAAACGGATATTTGTAGAACAATTGAAACACGCTATCAATGGGCGTACAACAAAGAGGAGCGCGAAAGTAAAATCTCCATCGGAGGTCAAGTTTCAACAATATTGATGATACGAGAATTAGGAAGATATCAGACAAAACTCACCGGTCATGTCCTAATACTCGGTAAATATGTTTGTCATCGTTTATTTCCTGGGTAAGCTGCAATTTGAAAACAAAAAGAGCGATTAAACGACATTTTAAAAGTAAAAATCAGATCCTATCCGGTAATTTTATGGAACTGTACTTAAATTAATTCATAGAATAAGAATCTTGTCCAGAATTGCCTACTCATGCAATGTCAGTAACATTATGTAGAAGAAAGTAGCTCGCCTCTCCAGCAAAGCTTTTCCCGAGGAAGCCATGTGGATGAAAGACTAGAAGGCTGTCGCGTAGGCCAACTAGAAAGGCGCAGAAACCATGCGTTTTAAGTTTAGGACGAAAGACGCAACAAACAAAACAATTGGCGAACGTCATAAAAGGATTAAATACCTAATAAAAGACAATACGTTTAACAACATATTAATGGCGAAGCACTTTGTAACTTGAACTTCTGAGGAGTAAACTTTCAAAAGCGCACAGTATAGTTTCTAATTCTTGATAGTACTTGGGATGAAAGGTAGGTTGATGTCAATTTACACTTGCTACTATTCCAAATATGTCTCCAAACTCCGGAACATTGAGATTTAGATTTGTTGAAAAAGGATCTCATAATGAGAGCTGCAATTTTGTGGTAAATAAACCGGAGGGTTCATAAATGACAGATGAACAAAACACGTCCCATAGGATGATGAAGGGATAGTTGCATCCACGTCACTAGACTAGTAGCAGCGAATGTACATTAGTTGGTACTTTGGTTAATGATATGACGAAGAAGTTATAGTTGCAAGGAAATGTATAAGTGGCTTAAGCGATTAGAAGATAGGTGTTCTGGCCAGCAAACTATATTGTGCATCTAAATCTATAGCTAATCCTCGTAAAACAAGTTAATGACTTTGGCTAAGTTACGATATCAACAGATTCTTCTATTACAAATTTAGGAGCAAATGAAAAGAATTCATATTTCCTACAAAGTAGAGAGAGCGAGATAATACAACCCCATTAACTACATTTGCCCTGCCTTGAGAATTTTAACCCGAGCAGACGTAGAACAAGGCACTACAATGAGATCTTAGGCTCGGTACAAATGGATCCATCTTAGCTAAGACGGTGTATTGGGATAAGATTAAGTAGTCTAAAAATTCACCCAAAAGCCTGACACCAAAGCTTCTAGTGACTGACCGACTGATTGAATCTGAAGACCATCAAATGTGATTGTATTTGGTTGACGCAGCTTCTTCCGTAGCCGACCGCTGAAGCCAATCAATTTCGCACAGTCTACAATCAAGTTGTACGTGAGATAAGTCCATTCTACTTGGTATTGTCGTCGATGCTACGTCTACAGAGACATACCTGGAAAACAGACAAGGACAGTGTTCTTCAGAAGTTGAATGACGCTCACTACTGTTAGCCGATCTGTCTCTGAAAATGCAAAACTCACGTCTACTAAGGGAGCACCGTGACAACTGCCAAGCGTATGAAACATAATCATCTGCTACTATAGTGCTAGTGCCTTGATGGTAATTTTCCGCCCTACGGTATGTATTTGGATGAAAAAAAATGGACTGAGGTATCGACTCCTTCGGCATAAACAGCAGATAGGTGTTGTAGTTCACTCTTTGATACAGGAGGTTCTGTGCAATCATTTCACAGCCTAGCCCCTGTTCGCAGTCAATATGAGGCTATTTCAGGACAGTACGGTAACCGTCTTGATAACTACTGCAAATACCTCACACCTATTTTGGAATGAAACTTGACTAAATAATGTAGCAGTGAAATTCGCAGTGCGATCGAAACGTGTTTCGATATTATACTTAGATGGGGAGACCTAAAGTTAGACTGCGCTAGAACGTCCATGTAAAGCTAAGACTGATGTGAGATAATGAAACATGTTGCAAAAACATAGTGAAAGATGCCTAAATCTATGTGTCATTTGTAGAACGTCGATACATCAACAATGCTGTTTATTTGCATGTGAAAGATGGGTGAAAGGATTCGAAGCAAAGTCGAGCAACAATCTCATTGATAAATAGCTAAAACTGTAACCCATACAATGGCAGAAATCTTCTGGTTAAGACATAATGTACAAAGCATAAAATGAGTTATCACAAAAAATCAACGACTGCAAACCCAGAAAGACAGAATTATTGTCGGAGGCAATGCCGTCAGCAATCTTGCCAACAGACGAGGCGGTAGGGGCGTCAAAGGCAGGTGCAGCGGCAGAGCCAACGACATCGGAGCGAGATTCGGTGGGCTTCTTGGGCTCTGTGTGGGTTGTTGCTGGGGTAGAAAGGGCGTGGGAAAGTGTAGAAACAGGGTCCAAATGAGGGGGAATCGTGGGAGTGGTAGGCGAGTTCAAGTCGACGAGGTGGAGGCGGTAGCGCTCTCCTGCCAATCCCCGACGCGAGTGATGCCGATAGACACCCAAGCAGGCCAGGGGAAATCTCAAGTCCTGCTGCACCAGCAAATCGAAGGTTGTCAGCGATTGGGGCATGTTGGAAACTGGCACCTAGAAAGAAGAAATTAAGATGGAAATGTCACTCAAACCAAGGAAAAAGGCAAGTAGCATTTCAAAAAATCTCAAGCAAAATCAAGTGCATTATAGACGCAGATACAGTGATGTAATCTTAAAGCAGTGCTAGGAAGAGTTAATAGCTTATGATATTTGAGTAATCGACAGAATCGTACCCGCTTGGTCTCAATAAACGTTGAAAGTGTATTGACCCACTCCATTACGAGAATTTCATGGGAGAATGCGGCACAAAGGTACCGAGCACCAGTGAAAGGGCTTCTTACCAAGCTTGCTCGCAGACATCCCTTTGTTTTTGACACCTTATTAGAGGGTGAGAAGCGCCTGCAGAAGAGGAGAACAGGGAACGGGAAGTTACTTTACCAGTTACAGAAGGGAAGTGCCGGACAGAAATGCAAGGCCTAGCAAATTATCAATCACACGCACACGCAACTAAATAATGGTATCAAACAATACCCTTTCATAAAAATATCGGAAACCCAAGGTAAAATGAGACTACCGAGATGAATTTACCTTAGATTTCTGTTTCAATGCAACCAGTTTATGACCATCTCAACAATACCGTTTAAGGCCAAGAGGTAGAGCGTGCCAATAGTACTGTATTTAGTTTTACCCCAAAGTTTTCACCAATTTTCAATTGCCGAAGACGTATCATCTAGCGGCCCAACATGCATTCAAATCCTTATTTTCGCCCCAAGAGGAGAAACAGTAAAAAAATTCAATGCCTTTAAAAATAAATGCACATGACGGAATGAGGAAAAAAAGGGGTATGACGAATAACAGATGATGGAAATTTACACTTTATAGTTGTGCACAAGGCAGAACAAAGTGGGATCTCGACAGTAGTTCAATGTAACGGGTTGCTTAAGTAGGTGTATCGAACTTAGGACGGACTCGGAGCTAGGTCGATGGAGGAATGAGTAAAATAATCGGGAAGAAACTTACTTGGGGAAGAGGTTGGAGATGCGATTGAGTTTCGCATTCATGGAATGCCCAGAGGCCTTCATTTTCATAAGAGTGGTGAGGTTGTGAGTGTAAAGGTGCGGTGGGTTGCCCGAAACTGAAACCATGGTATTCTGTACCACCGCCAACCAGTGACAATAGCGCGAGGAGAGCTGCAGGCATGCGGAAAGTCGGTTAATACTAACACACAACGCTGAAGTAGGAAGGTTTATACTTTCATCAAAAAGAAGACGATAAAAGACAAAAGTAACGCAGCAGGATATTAATGAGAATAGGACCTGCATCAAGTTCCACACCTTTCATTGAAGTGGCCTCTATTTAAAATCATGAAAAATGAAAAATAGTTATATGAAGACAATCCTTTAACAAATAAACTTTAGCATGTACGATTAAAACGAAAGAGGCCATTTCAGACTTTGCAAAGACAAAAACACTAAACAAGTCTGGTTGCGATGACGACTAAGCAACTTCAGCGTGAAAGCCAATAAATATATGAACAATAGGTACGAACCAATTCCAAAGATCGGTCAGCGAGATCCTTGAGACTAAGAAAATAAATGCCTTCCGTGCTGCCAAAAAGCAAGATTTGCCCTTCAGTAAAAAAGACCAATTAAATTATTCGATAGAGACTCGAGAGTAATATGGAATGTAAATTACCATTATTAGCTGGATTAATCCAACTTGCCGTCGAGTTGATGGTCAAAGGACAACCCTCAAAAACCAACATAAAACACGCGCCCATCTGAAGGAAGGATAAACGTCAGTTTGACCCAGGTCCTCTTAGCTACGGTATTTTACCTAACTTGACATGACAGATTGAGAAAGCTGACGATAAATAGCAGGGAGGGCATTTACGAACTCCAAAAAAGTAGTGAAATAAGGCTTCAGTAAATGAGTAAAGCATTCACTTGTTAAATAAATGCATAAGGCCACGCATGGCAGAGACGTAAACACAATAATACTGCTTCTACGATATTGTCAGACAGATGAACTCCAACTACGAAGGTTCATGGAAGTTACTCAATAGGGCTAAAGAAATCCAAAAAAGGTGCTAACTATTCGAGAGAACGGATACAAAGTGATGCAATATGTAGATTCATGAAGGAAAAGTGGATGCACAGAGGACTCACGTGGACTTGGGGCGTGGGCGGTAAGTCTGTGGTGGACTGTCGTGTCCAAGGCGGAGCGCCATAGCTACTGCAAACAACAGCCCCCGTTCGAGAAAGCTTTTGAAGGTCATGATCCATAGAGGAGACCGACACCGAGGTAGGTCTGATCTTGTTGTTGCCAATAGGACTCTGCCTCAGACGTCTGAGCATCCGTGAAGGTTGTGGGGAAAGGTAAGTCGGAGGGGAGATCCGATGCTGTTCTGTCGAGACTGTCGTGGTCTTCTTAATTACAGGCTCAGTAGCAACGGCCTTGAGGGAATCAACCAAAGCAAAGCTGGTGTTCTCGACACTAGCCGCACTCTCCTCCGTGACAGAAGGGGCAGAGGCCGTCTTTCTCGGGTAACGACGCCAATGAGGATGGGTAGTGGAAAAGATTTGGAGGAGGTTGGGGCAGGTAGAGGAGGAAGGAAAGGTGATACGTTGATAGGCGCAAGAGAAACTGGGAAAGCTGCGAGCGCGACTCGATTGTTTGGCACTACAAAGCGGTGGCGGTTCCACCACATTTGTCTCAATTTCAGCACCATGGGTCGGCACCTTGTCTTGTTCTTCTTCCCGTCTCGCCTTCACTTTAATCCCTTCCTCTTTCATTCTGGCATCATCATCTTCAACCTGATTGGCGGGCTGTGCGACCCCATAGGAGGCCTTAACTCTACCCTCCTCCTCCTCTACTACCCGTTTCAGACCACTACTCTGACTTGCTAAGATTCGCGTCTGGGCCCTCTCCTCTTCCGCTCCGTCTTGTCTATGTCGACTACCCAAACTGTATGATGTGGACGGAACCTAGAAAGAATGCTATCACTGAAACTCAACTCCTTTATAAAGACCTATGTGTACATATTTCATCTAACGTCGAGGCAATCTTTCGGTTCGTGTACAGTAGTTTAATAATGCGCGTTGATTCTGGAGGCATTGCGAAATTCAAAATTGAAGCCCATACTAGTGTAATACACCCCAATTTCACTAAAAAGTGAGGAATTTAATTGAGTTGGCCTGAAAAATCACAATGAGCGAAAACGGGGTTAAAAACCACGAGTTGGGGAAAAAGAAACAGTTAGAAGTGGGAAGTACTTCGAAAAGTAGTTTTAACAAAACACCAGAATGTATAAGCAACACCACCTTGATGCCTATTCAATTTCCACCAGAAAATGAAGCATACCGAGTTAATCAGGTTAATCACGTGTGTTAAAGAATTTAAATCGTGACTCGGCAATGAGAGACCAACGAGTGAACTGAAGAGAATAAAGGACTACTAATACATACATTACATACCAACTCACTACTTTTGAATAAATTGGCCTCATTAAATCACTAAAATGATGAACTTAAGTTCAAGCAAAGTAAGGGGTGGGAAGAAACGAAATAGCTGAAAGTGGGTATAAAAGAAATTAATAAAACCAAGGTTAAGCAAAATGAATTAACCCTGAGGATCTTTTCAGCCGATGAGCTGTCTACCATGCACAGAATTGCATGATATATCGGTGGTAGGATATCAAAAGAAGATAATATTCATCAAAAAAAGACCAACTTTACCGCACTATTTCGGTTGCCACAGTTGAGCCGAGAGATTAAAATCTATTTCGAGATTTGCATTTGTTATGATTTGAATAACATAGTGTAGCTATCAAAATGTGCAACTCAAAAATGGTCAAAACCACGAAAAAAGTGCATTGCTGATGAGTAACAACGTACGTCATTCCGTAGAAAAGATTGAATGGAAAAGCAAGGAGATGTAAAGGCTTGATGCTGGGTGAATAACTTTGATACAGAGTTATTGGACGGAGAGAGAAGCGGCTTAGAAAACGAGGAAGATGCAGTGTCATCAGCGGATGATGGGCACCAGTGTTGGCCATTCAAGGGCTGACTAGGCGGCGAAGGAGGCCGTAAAGTAGCGGAGACTGCCAATGTCTCTGCAAATCCAACAATAAGTCAATCTGATCATTTGCTTTTCATCAAGCACGTGTCACAAGAGCCAACAGACTTCTTTCATTTAAATTGGCGGCAAATCAAGGGTTCAAACCTAGCCAATATACCCAAGTATCAGAATGAAAAAAAGGCACTGGGAAAAGACATCTTAAGTAAACAACTGTAAAGGATGGAGTGCAACGAATTTCTTTGACTTCATATAAGAATAGCAATAAAGTCATATATAAGCACATGTAGACAGTCGATAACGGCGCCAGGATTATGCACAAAACTAAATGCTAAAAATAAAGAGGTATTTTCGAGGACACCAATTGCCATGAGCAATGCACTTGTAGCAGACTGTTTCGAAGGAGAATCAAATAAAAGCATGTGAACATCTCCTGAGGATGATATATAGATTATACAAATATTAGTGATCCAAGAAACCGAATTATACTAATCAGAGGCATTCCAACGAGTACGATTTGAACGAGAGAAAATTCGCAAAGGGTGATAACGAAGAGATGCTGGGACTTGAAATGCAGTCTAACGCAAATAAATAGCTTCGCGTTTCCATCAAAACATTTCCACAACAGCAAGCAATGGGCGTCAAAAAAGATACACGCACGCCAGGAAATTTTTCCAGGTCCGAGTTTACAAACAAAAAGCGTTAAGGTGAGACGACCCCTCTGCGACACATTGCCATAGTGATGGAATGAAATGAGGGCAATGACTAACCTGAAGGTACAATTGCTGATTGATGACCAGATAAATGCGACTGCAAATTTATCCCAGTGGAGTTCGAGAGAGTTGATCTGATAGACTTAGGGAGTTGTTGCTCTGGAGAAAGAACATATTTTAAGTATTCAAACTTGCAAACCAATATTGATATTGCTCTTCTAACGTATACAGGCAGTAGAGCGAAAGAGAAGTCATTATGTACAATAGTTCTTAGAATCAGAAATCCTAATGACTAAAACTGCATAGTTGTCTTCGCTACGAAATTACAAGTCTAGCATACATAGATTAATTCGTCGAGTTCCTAATTTAACAGCAGAGTGAAATATTTTATGCAAAGCACCAGTGATGCAGAGGACAAGCGTTTACAAGCCAAAACCGTTACCATTGGAGATAGGATTTGAGAAGTCAGCACTAGCAGCAGTCGTTAAGGTGCCTATTTCCTCGACGCTGGTCTCGGCAAGATCAACAACAGAGCGGATACCGCTAGAGAATGCAAATGGCGAATACGCTACGGGAGGAGTAAGCGTGCAAGGCGCGGGACGAGCAGAAAGAGAAGGCGGTCCACCCGTTGACATTGCCGGGGCAGAGGTCTTGGGGCGTGGTTGAGGTGTAGGGGGCTGACACATGGAGCCTTCGGCATCGGAGGGGTTCATTGACGGTACCAAGAGGCCACTACCACCTGATCGACCCAGAAAAGGGTGCACGGTGTCTGGTGAGCTCGTGGCGTGGTGTAGTGTCGGCACCGAACCGGGATTGAACGAGGACAGACCCAATGGAGCAACCGAAGGCTCACTGAAAACCCATAAACAATGCAAGAAACCACGGAATAAACCCACACATGCATACTAGAAGAGCGAGGCAATGGTTTGACAAGACAAAGACGAAGTATATGTTGCCGAACGCAGAAATACCATAACCACTTGGACACATTAGCAGCCACAAAGACAATAGAAATTTACGACGAGTTCAAGAAATGTAACATACCCAGCGAGCCAAGCAAACTTCTGTGCGAATTTGAGTTGCCGCAACATATCCGCCAATTCGCTGCAGCAAGAATAAATGAAGTACATTAAAATATGCATTTAAACAAAGCGCACACACCGCAGTGCTGAGAAGTACGATGATATACTTAACTTTGCTAATGACAATAAATGACGTTTTCAGATGCATGAGACAAATCGCAAAGGAAAAGGGCAATAATTTCACAACAGCAATAATGACAGTAGCAAATCTTGTAGAATAGTAGAGGATTGTACAGAGCGCTGCACGCCGACAAGCGTGACCTCAGTAATAAATCTTCTGCCAAATATAAACAAGGCGAATGTTACGGTTGTATGTGAGTAAAAACAGGTAAAAATTACGGAACATAGAAGATTCAAGTAGACACTGGAGAATTTCCAACTAAGGAGCCGCAAACACGTACAGAAGGTTGGCAAAATCTTGAATCAACATAAAGAGACTGAAAGCACTAGTTGACCCAATAAGGTAGATGGCAAAGGTAAAAGCAATTTGCACATAAAAAGCTGCCTGCGAAGATCCCAATACTCACGCGCCAGTCTTTTCAGGGAAAAAGTCATTTTGCGGAAGAACCTTTTCAGTTTTTTTTGTGCAGGTGATGGCAGTGGCAAGTTCAGTGGACTCAGAGACCTGACGTCGTGGGGATCCGCGCTGCTGCTTTAGTGCCACTTTGGTGTCGGATTTTCCCCGCCGAGGCCGACGACGTGGCCGCTGATCTTCGTTCTCCTCGGAAGGGCGCGACTCGTGCTGCGCTGCGTTCGTTTCAGCGGCGTTCCTCCCTGCAGCCAGCAGAGCACCCGGGTGCGAGATAAATCTATTATCAGTGATTGAAAACGCAGTTGACTCCGGCCCTCAGAGAGCACATGTAAATAGCTCACAACTCAAATAAGCGTTGGCACCACCTCAAGCATTAACTTTTCTTCGAAATCATAAACTGCATAAATCCCTCAATGATTCGCTTGTGGTATTATACGTAACACTTTTTTGCAAAAAGTCGGCTTCGGTAAGCTTCCAGAATTGGCAATTTTTATTTGAATGCTAATTAGCTCAGGTTAAAAAGTACACCATAAAACGTACTATATTGATGGGCGCGTTTTGGGAATTAACATTTGTGAACTAAAGCACTATGACCAAGACAGGTACAAGAAGCCTGAAGCCCACTACCTCGATTTAGATTGAGTATGAAAAGCTCCTGCCGAACGTGCATTCAAGGGTACTTGTATTTTTCACTGAATATTAGCGTTTAAGTGCTCAAAACCGACCAAATGCAGACACCAAACAAGAAATCCATGAGATGAGACCTAGAAGCTCATAAAGGCTAATAACGTAATCAAAAATGCTAAAAAAATTAACTGTCACTACTCCGAAAAGATTTGATGCATTGAGTAATGAAAATCTTTTTGAGTACACTGCGCCCAAAGTAGGTAATGTGTAATGGAACAGAAGATAACACCATTTTTGCTGTTGTTCGGAGATGAAACTTTTGAAACACAGCATGTTCCTTGCAGTTAATAAATCTCAATTAAGCTCGAATCGGAAACCAAACGCTTTTTAAAACACACACACATAGACACGTTAGCTGCAATATGATCATGTCGAGCATGCATACAAGAGGCCATATAAAAGTAATGCAAACAGCAGTTTTCCGACTCATTTTTCCACCAATTACGATATCATAACAGAAGAAAAGCTACTGGTGAATAGGGCAGTGCGTACCATCGGATAAAGTATAGACTGCGAAGTGGTGAAATATGTAGCGATAACACTTGATGTGGACGAAATTCTGTCGAATTCAAATTTCGCAAACTGTGCTGTTGACAAATAGACAATGGAGTGATCTGAAATTAGCTTGCATCAGAACAGACTGAGACTCCTACTTGCAAAGAGTTTATCATGGAAGTGGCGAGAAAACATTATGGAGAGAGTGAACAAGTGATCAGTTCTAAAGTACACAAAACGTGAACACAAGCCTTTATCTTTTGATTGAAAAAATGATCAAGGTATCTGATCATTCTGAAGTGTCAAAGTCAGCCTCTACCTTTAATAAGAATAAAAAGACAAAATACCCCAGATTAAAATTAATGACAATCACTGACCGATCTCATGGGAATGGGGATTAAGACAACCCCATAAAAGAAGTTAGTTAGGGTCAAAATTTGCGCTCGTAATCACAGTGTTTAGCTTACTTTACGCACAACAATAGGCTAAAATTTCCACCAATCTAAAGGTTAAGATGAAGCGAAACTGTAGGCAATTGCAGGCAGCTTATTTGACCCAGATTTGTGTAGAAAATGCAAGTAGTATACGTAAGGCAATGAAACCATTTTCAACGATTGACAAATGTTCGGCGGTTCAAGCACTTCAGATTCACATGAACCATTAAAAGGGCGGTCCTTTATGGTTTAACAAACAGTATTTAAAAGGTAATGTCAAGGAGAGACAGAACAAACACAAAATCCTGGGTAATAAAACCATCAAGTAGAAACTGAGAGGCTTGTTTAAGTGGGCAAAAATGACGTTAGAAATGGAATTTGCACAAATTTCAAACCTGCGCTTGGGCCTGTTTACCAAGAAAAAGACTATGGAGATCACTGAACCAATACGTACATAACCCAGAAAAGCTTGTAATGCATGGTGAGCCTTAAAAAGCGTTACAACGCGGCATTGATTCAAAACCAGTGTGGCCAGATGATACATAAGAGTCGAAAGTAACCACAGTGAGGAAAGAGAATTTGAACAGGTAGGTAGATTTAGCTGTCGTCATGAGCACTAAATGCGGGCATGCGCATGCTTGGAATTTGGCCAAGGTCTTCAAAACCACACGTCGCTCTCAGTCGTATGCTTCTCGCAGAGAAGCGGATTGGCTAATGAATACCTCTAGCAATGACTGCACGATTTCGGTGGCAGAACTAAAGCCTGCCTCAAGTTACACACACACGTGGAGAAGGGACCTTCGCACATCCCAAATGGCATAAAAATGGCATAGGCAAAAGTCGTTGGAATTCAACCACAGCATGATTAAGCCGTCTGGCAACCAAAGTGTCTTCGCCAGCACTGTCCCATACAGCTGGGGGTAAACAGTATAAAGGGTCGCAGCGAAAAAATTGATTAATGAGAGGTCTGTTGTGGAAATACAACGGCTGATAAAGAAGACGAGCAAACTTATGTCATCACTTTGCTATACATTTCCTGTGAATGAAAGACTTAGTTTGGGGAATTCGGTGCGGTGTGCATAAAAGGAATTAAAGTTAAAATTAGTGACACTTACCCAGCCTCCGGATCAACATAATCAAAGTCCAGTTCTTCATCATCCTCTTCATCTTCTTCTTCCAAAGGATTCCCGTGCATTCGGAAGCCAAATTCACTAATTCTGTCCCCTCCTCCAGTGGAGTCCTGTCACAGAATGGGAAGAAGCCTTAATAAAGGATCGAAGGGACTAGCTTAATGCATTATTGTGACATGCAGAAAGCCTAGCTGACATGATTGAAAGTTTGGTGCAAAATTCAAGGTGGAGAGAGCAATGAGGTGCACGAAATTCAGCTGCTGCATCACGCAGAATGGGATATTCGATAAGTAGCAACCGAGATCGCGCGTACTTAGCATGTTTATGCAAAGATCGCAAAAAAACAGAATCGGGATGGAAGAACAGAGAGGCAGTGGAAGTCATGACTTTAAAATAAGGAATGAAAGAGGAATGGAAGATATGAAAGGCAAAGATAAACAACAGGTAGGCACAATTATATCATCCTAGGGGAGTGTTGGCCAATAGAAAGTCCAAACGGGTATGACGTAGAACTTTCCAAGCTGGAGAATATAATTAAATACGTACAGAGCTTTTTTCACTTGGGAACATTAAGTACCTTCCACCGTAGCATAGAGTCAGTGACTAAAATACTTCCTTAGACAACATAATAAGTTCTTAAGCAATGCTCCTGAAAACACAAAAAAGATGAGTAAAACAGCTGTAATGCACTTAAACACCTGAATTCCGATGTACTAATCAAACACACATGAGGGGTGAACTGCGTGCAGGCAGCAGCTTCAAACTCTGTGAACGTGAATGTATGAACATAACACACTTTTGTTTCTCAAATAAACTTTAAACACGATTCCAACGACCAGACGAGGATCAGGTCACGCATGGCAAATGTAAACCAATTAGAAAAAGGCAGGACGTTTGCAAAAGAATTTTTATGATGAGGCTGAGAGTAGGCGAGGTGCAGCACATGCACAGGAGAAAAAAAGCAGGCACAGGAACAATCACCGTTCGCCTGGAGGAACATTTGCCCAGTGTCAACACGCCATCAGCCGCCAGTAGTTGCTCATCGGCCACGTCAAGATCCAGATCTGCTGCCGCGAAATCCGAGGTGGTTAGTGTTCTTTCGTGGCTCTGGCTGTCGTCTCCACCTTCCGGTTTCATACCTCTCACCGCAACCCCCAATTTGTTCTCCTTTTCGGATGCAACAACACACTCTGCAGCAAGCCCATTGCAGCCAGCATTGACACGTGGTACTGGCACCGTCTAGAGGGGGGTTTGTAATTTCTGAACCTTAGTTGAGGAATTAATTTGATTCCTCAGACCAGTCAACAGTTAGAGGACCGGAATCCACACTAAATAAGTGTACACGACCATGCGTTCGAGAGGGCGTGATCTTGGCCTTACATTATTCCAAAATAATGCATGGGAAAGAAGCATTGAAGATAACCCAAAACAAATCTGATGACTCGATTTTAAAAATAAAGTAAAAGAAACACACGGAACGAACAGGTTGGGGCGTCGTCTCCGATTCAGGTACGATGTTCCTAGCGTTGACGGCATTGAGAGATGTCAAGCGACTCTTATTTGAGGAAACACAAGTTCCGCTTTCGAAAGAAGACTCTTCTTCCCTTTCTTCTTCTTCTTCTTCTTCTTCTTCCTCTTCTTCGTCTTCTTCTTCTTCTTCATCGCCATCCTCCTCTCTCTCTCCTTCCTCATCATCCTCTTCTATGTCCTCACAAGCACCACTGGAAGACCCAGTACTATGAGAATCAGAAGAGGATGTAGAAGATGAAATGGTGCTACAGGGCGAAGTGGAAGCGGAAGAGAAAGAAGTGGCAGAAACAGTTGGAGAAATTGAAGAGAGAGGCGGCTTGGGAGCAGGACTCGCAGTGGGTGCATTGGCCGCGTAGGCGGGCAAAGGAGTCGCCAGTTCGTCCATGATGCGCACGTCCTCTAGGCGTTTGCTCCGCACTGGGAAGCGCGGATAGACACTGCCCCCAGTAGGAGTGGGAAGAATACGTTCAGGAGCGCCGTTGGTCACCAATGGCGGCGGGGCTTGTGACATTTTGAGTTTCGAGGATGACATCATTCCTATCTCTTCTTGATGCGTCGCCACATACTTGCTCGCAGCTTCCAATCCCGCTGACGAGAAGGGAAAGCGGGTCGCTGGCGTCTATAAATGGTTGGATAGAGTAACCATTACATGCATACGCAATGCAATACCGACGCATTGCAGAGCATGAGTCATTTTACGAATGAACGCATAACTCAACTGAACCGATCAAGTGAGAGCAAACTAAGAAGAATTTCGACAAAGCCGTAAGATGAAAATGCCGTCATAAATTACACACCAGAATATACGCAACTTACTGTAACCCGTCAAGAGCGCTTTCAGAAATAAACAGAAAAACCCTAACCATATTATTTTTGCTGTTATGAAAGAATCACTTAGAGATAATGTCGACGTATTTGTTTCATGCAAAAAAAATCACGCCATGTGAGAGGTGGGACAAAAAAAACTTCAAGACGAAATATTTCGATATTAAAGAGGAGTCAAAAGTAATCATCTCCACAAAAAAAGTAAATCGGGGACACAGAATCGAATGTGGCCAGATTAAGATGCCGAAGGAAAAATATTTATCAAGGATGGGGTTAGGTGACTTTGGAAGGATGGTTTACTTTGTCACACAAGATCCTACTAATAGCGAAAGTGTTAAAGAAGCCAAACGTCCAGAAAGCTGCTTAACGCGTTGACTTTCTTCATTCATTTCAACAAGAATGCCTCATTATCGATTCCAATAGGATGAACCCTTTGAAGATCATTGGTTTTAATTGCGATGTAGGATACTTTGTTTTAAAAGATTGTAGACGAAAATATATTTATAGAAGAGGTTTGCTTTTTAGCAACATTCATCTTGAAAAATAATGTGCACTTTCTTGTCCACAGTAATCACAAGTGCGAAGTCAAAGTGCACCATCACAGCCCACTGTGGATATAAAACCTAACAAGTAGCGTTAAGAAACAAAAGCAGCCTTAATTGGTGTGGGTAAAACGTCCTGATCTGGATTCTTGCGCTAATAATCGACAGAGGTTAATACCTCGAAAGACTCATGCAAAGAGCAGTGAACTATCATACGCGTACAAACAGGGCTAGATCCATAAAATTTGTGAAAAGTACGCAGTCGAAACGACCAAGGAATTTTGCAAGTCTAGTTAGCTAATACCAAGCAGCATATGTATACTCATGATCTAAAGTATGGGATCACTGATGAAGGTCCCGTAGAGGAGTGATAGTGAGCAATGAACTTACAGTGGGTGTCGCCAAAATCGTTTCAGCCTAAACACATTGGCACGCAAAGGTGGAGAGTGTACATACAACGAACATAATTTTGCGAAATGCCTAAAAGTAGCGTCGACCCAAACTGATTGATACCAGGACCAGAAAAGCCCTAATATTTTTTTGACTGAATGTGGCAGCTCTGAAGCATGGTTCGACGAACATACTACCCTACCTTAATGTTCACACCTTCTGGAAATATGTGAGGAGCCTTTGGAATGGCGGAGCCCTTGGCAGCGGAGCCGTTTGTGGCGAGGGCGTTGGCAGGTGTAGGTCGCTTGACTGCGAGGCTAGGAGGAGACCTAGGGGTCTGCGGGCATGCTACTCCCTGGTTTACCTGGTATGGTGGAACGCTCGGAGGGGTGGCTGATGAAAGCACTGCAGCCGATCTTCCAGCCGTCGCCTGAGGCTGACCAAAAGTAATGGGCTCAGGATTGCGGTTTTGTTGAAGAAGTCGGAGAGTCAGCGTCTGCGACAGTTGGGGCTGGGTCACGAATTCGTGCTAAAGGCAAATCACATCCAGCCACACATTCGCTTACAAGTCATAGCCGGCCAATGAAAGGAAGCTTCGACATTGTTCTCAATTGAATTAATCGCATTGCTGAGAAGTTATATTGGTATCGCTGAACAGATTTCTCGAACCACACAGAGGCGCAGCCATTCCGTAAACTCAAAAATGATTATAAAACTAAGGTGATAACATTTTATACAACACTTAACAATGATTTTCATTGGTTGAATCTGAAACACAGATGAGCAACTGGGTAAATGCAACGCATCAGTTCCCGCAATGTACCAGGAAAATGACGCGTTAGAATGAAGATTAAATCATAGCCACTACACAACACTTGATTAAAAATTCCATCTTCAGCAAGAATGGAGGGGTACACTTCCCCGAAGGCACGTAAATAAGATGGCGAAATGAATTAGAGTTAGGTTATTAAGTGGATCAAATAGGCCGTTTGCAAACTGTGCATAAGTTTCACACAGAAAGCGGAGAAAGCCTCCGAAACACCTACCATCAAAAGTGCTAGTACTAAAGCCACAAAAAACAGAAAGGAACTAACAGAAATAACCCGATGAGTTTGTTCGGAGGAAAACTTTGAATATTTCTGCGTGGACATGAATAAATCGGTGTACGTGGTAAGAAATTCAAAACTTGCGACCGAGACTTCAAAATGACTTGCAGGTCTGATAATGGCAATCATAGGAAGGATAAGAGAAGGAGGAAACATCTGACTCCAGCCGAGTATAGAGATTGTATTTCATTATAAACGCAAAATTGCACATTTCGTGTAGTCATATATTTTTAACATTGGGACATCATTTCTTCAGTACACATTTAGAAGGACATGAATAAATCAGTTTAAAATTTCAAAACCACAAAACTGAAAATTAGAGAACGACGCTTCACCTAGTTATCTTGTTATCAACTCAAAAAGAAAACATGTCAGTCGCATATATCTGCATCGAAAAGCATCGTTATGACACGAAGGAAAATGACGTGGTATCTAAATTCCCGCCAATGGCGCAAAGCAGTTCAGACTTTAGCCCAGAAAACTTGACGTCAGGATGCCAATAAGCACTTCATGAAGACGGAGAGCTGCTGCATGGAAGCGCCTGTGGAAAGGAAACAAATTCCTTTTGAAATGCGCTCAAGTTCACTCCCATTTGACATTACCAACAGCACCGAGCCGCACTCCAAGTGCATGCAGCGGCAAAATTAATTCAGGGTACAGTGACTCAGAGGCAAGAAGTTTATAACTCCATAACTATAACGATTTTGGACAGTCAGTCCCGCGTATCCTGCATATTCCTTTCTTATGTGAATGAATTTTTGAGAGCACAATAGTTTTAGCAAGAGTCTGCCCGAGAATAGGATTTTTCGGAAAAGAGATCGCCTTAATCAACTTATTGCATGATAAGAATGGTTATGATAGTACTCAAGAATAGAAGCCAGTTATTTGGAATCGATAGGGAATCAGTGCAACAGTTGCTGACACATTAGGCAAAATGCAAGCAGCATATCATTGAGTCGAAGAAAAATTGAGGGTAACTTATTCACAATATAATGCGAACTGACAGTACATAAAATCGAAATTCATCAATGCCGAAGTTGCATAGACTTTCGTGTGCGCTTGCGTCGATTAGGTCTCGTGCCTCTTCGCAAGACAGCTAGACTCCATGGGCGTCGTATACAGTGGTCAGGTGTAGAAATCAAATGCTTTGAGCTGAAATGATACTCGAAAAGCTATCACCGATTTAGCATCAATTTGGTTATGAGAAAACGGGAGAACAACCGTGCATTCATATGAGCGCAGTGCTAACCTGCAGAGAAATGGTATTTAATGGGATATAGCGGAGGGTAGTGGTGCGCGTGTTTATTCTTCACCTCAATCCCATCCCATTCACAAGCATGCATACACGCACGCACCCTTAGACTACGAGTTCAAGCGATGCCATTACACTCAAACATGAATGCGATTCCTTTGAGAATGCGTTTTACATGAGGCAAATCTCTAGAGACCCATTTTTCCTTAAAAAAACTCAAGCAGCATCTTATTTTGAAAATTATTTTTTGATTGCAAATACGAAACGGGACACAAAAGTTTTGGTTCCCAAATACTCATTAAATGGAAACTACAAAGCATACTCAGAAACACCTGATGGTTCGAAAAAATGGGTGAAATCCCTGGGCTCCCCTTGGTCTCATGGATTGATGACTGATGACTGATTTTCATGTCAGAAATCAACGAACAGAACGCTAACTAACTTAAGTGTAGATGGCACTATAAAATTTTAGGATAACGTGCCATTACAAATGATCGACGATCAACGATTAATTATGAAACCTAACCAGGGTGCAGTGATTACAAAGGGATAAGGAATATCGTAAGCGCATTCAATTCAGAAGTATCAAAGGAGAAGCATAGACTAGTAAAGCCATGAAAATAGCGAGTTATGAGACGGTTCATGAATGACAGTTAGGGAGACTGTACGCTAAGTAGTTGCGGTTCAGGGTAGCAATGAAAAGGCCATTTGATCTCATAAATTACTCAAGAGCACAGGTAAACCAAAAGGTGGTTGCAGTTTATGCACAAAACGCTGATACTCTAAACACGAAATCCATGTCACGTAAACAAAAACAAACAAAACGCAGCTTACCTGGTGAGAGCGGAACACTAGCCGCCAGAAATATTTATCAATTATGCATTAAACAGAGCACTACTGATAATAGAATGCTGTATATGCGTCTCAAATAAAAAGTGCCGTCAGCCTACTATGGAACAGGACAAAGATATCTTACCGTTAGCATCAGGGAGGCGGTCGGACGTTTCTTTTCGTTTTTGGTTAGGGCAAATTTCAGAAACCCATGAAATTTGTTGGACCTGAAAGTTTGCGTCAGTTTAAAACTAAATTTAAAAAATGACAAGGATGGCCAAACGCCTAATGTCTGTCCAACTTACCACTTAGCCTTATTCTTTAATGTGGGCGGCTTGTAATTCTTCATGCTGAGTATCCGAAGCGCTCTATTTCAAAGGGAAAACGGTGGTTAAAGAAGGGCTCCTAAATGGAGGAAAAGGAGAAGAGGCAGATTTATAGGCATACTTCAAAGGGTTGAGATCAAACATTGGAGGCTGAAGTTCTGCATATTCGATGGCAGTTATTCCGACAGCCCAAATATCACATTTTTCATCGTAACCGCCTTTGCGTTCTACAGCGACAACCTCCGGGGCCATCCTGAAGAAGAACCAGTGCTTCCAACAATGTCAAGACATAAATAATGATAACGATTTCATGTCGAAAATACAGCTAGTATTTAACAGCGCCAAGCTAAGCTGAACTTATTAAAACCAGACCATTTCCCAAGCACGCTAAGTTGTGTAAGGATTCATTTTTGTGGTTTTAGTCATGAATGTTTAATATGCTTGCTTATTCTGGCTTAAAATAGCATTATTCATCAAACAAACCGGGACGCAAAAAAATAAATGCTTGTTAGTGTTGAATAAGGGCTTTTAAGTTGGACTACAGTGGCAAACATCCCACAATCGCTATTCAAATCACCTAGCTCTTCCTGTGTGAAGCTGATACTACCGTTACAAATGACAAAAAGTTTGTTTAAAACATTCCTAGATTAAATTTTCAAACGTTATGAAAGATTTATGTACGCTCCCGAACACTGAGAACTTAAGAGGTATAGGTCATGAGTCTATGACCTATAATGTCCATAAAGCGTAAACAAATCTAAAATGCAATGTTTGAAAACACAGGTTGAGAATAAAATTACGTGAAAAGTCTCTGTTCTAGAGCATTAAGGTTGACCAGAAATATCACAGAGCGCAACTTGATGTTAGACATCAATTTACCAGTATGGCGTCCCGATTAGAGAATTGCGACGCTGTATCGTATGAGTGATTTGAGCGGCTACGCCGAAATCCGCTAGAACAGATCAAGAAGCATGAAACTGCAGCTATTGTTCCCCAAAGGATGCTCAACACAATAAAACAAGTTTATAAGTAAAATGTGTGACGATTCAACCGAATAGACTCAAATTTATGGGACGTGTAATCAAACATTTGATATTTCAGCTTTCGTTGGAAGCCACTGCTCGTTGATGACAAGTGGCAGTCGGCATACAAATACGCAGGAGCATGCGTGCACAAGACCCTCTAATGAAATGTTCTACACGATCTGTATTATAGAGTAGAAGTAGCGATAATGGGATAAATACAACAACACTCTTATCTGAAGCACGGTAAGGAGTCACACAAAATAGTCCTAAGGCTGCATAAGTGTGCGGACATACAGAACGCATGATCGTAAAGCTCGACATCACGCCTTGTCGTCGAAGCGCTTGACCTTGGACTCAGCCAATAAAAATGTGGGGTATTAATAAGCAGGTTATGCGAAAGGATAATTTGCGTACTGCTCAACAGACGGATGTATAGGTATTACGAGTACTGTGTTATTAACCCACCATATTTTGCAACTTAATAAAACGCTAAAAGCGACGAAAACCTATAGTTTGCGGGCATAGCGGCGTACATGAACGATAAAAAACGGAGTCTAGACACGGATTACCAACGCGAAAGAGCCGGTCATGCGCACACTGTGTTACACAACACTAAGCTGCGCACAGAAGATAACCAAAATAGACGTTTTACTAAAAGTATCTATGGGAATAAAGTGGAATATGAAGCTAATAATCCAGGGTTTGAGAAGAGACATGTGTAGTAAAAGACCATCAATTGCTATAAGTGCGCTTACCAATCTTGACTGCTCCATCATTGCATAACAAAATGTTTGCTCCCTATAAACACGAAAAGACATGTTGGGAGCGAAAGTCAAGGTAAGAGAGAAGTAGCACCAATTCCAAGTCAAAAGTAAATTAGGATATATTTCCTTCTTGCAAGCAGAGAAGCCCAGAAATCAATAACGAAAGTTGGAACACCGTAGACTTATTACAAGGAATGGATTTGATAATAGCTAAGACAAACCAAAAATCAAAACCAAACCACAAATTAACTTGGATACTAGATGACGCACTTTGATGTCGCGGTGAATTTTTCCTTGGCTATGCATGTACGCAATACCTCTGAGAGTCTCCCGAGAGAGAAAGGCAATGCAATCCTCATCCACTGGCTTACGAGTATCTACATGGCTGTAGAACATAATCAAATGCCTACTTGTGTAAATATCTTGCATCGAATAACCGCCACAAAATTCCATACATATCCACAGTTTGTTGTGCCTAAAAGCGTTAGACGGACGAAAAAATCCACCAACCGAAAATAACTATCGTAGAATTCGACAATATTGCGGTGCCGACAATCTCTAAGTGTTTGTATTTCTTGAAGAACTGCCTTGATATCATCCTTTGCATCTACCTTAATTATTTTAACCGCAGCATAGTCTTTAGTATTCAGTCGGAGAGCCTAGAAGTCGATATCCATTGCATTACGGCTTGCCTTATAAACCTCCCCGTATGTCCCAACTCCGATGCTACGAATGAGCTTATAATCCTCCTTTGGATCTCTTTGGTTCACGACTTCACGGATATAGTCGAGCTTCTGTTCACTGATTAAACAACGAACTGACATCTAAGCGGCTAAATAGGCGATGAACAAACATCAAAACACCTCTCCAAACCAGCCGCTGCAGCAGACAGAACAGGGTACAAAACACTCCAGTGCAGATAAAACGCAGGAGTCTTGGCGAAGTGTAACCCTATATTTTCTATAAATTAGCTTTATGTTAAATCCGTGACCTTAGAACTGCTAACGTTGGATTATCTATGTAAAAATTATTTTGAGGGAATGTTTGCTAAAAGAATGACAGGCACATATGGAAAGATATTAAAACGTCTGGTAGCTAAAACAATGGTATATTCGAAAAAAGTTTAAGAACGCATAATTATGCAGCTAAAAGGTCTCTGTGTAAAATTTTATAATTCCCTTAAATTCCTTTTATAAGCCATGAGAAAGAAAGTTAATACAAGGTTTCAAAGAGCTTATCAACTGCAAATTAATCTTCCAAATTCTCTTATGTATAGATGCATGCCATTTTTAGTGTGGTTTTAGGACAAAGCACATTGATACGGGTTGATGCCTTTCGAGGGTTGCTCTACGTAGGTGGAGCTATTTCTGCTATGCGCCTCCAAGTCACAGCGCCACTCACCCAGTCTAGAGACGCATCCAAGTGGTTTCAATAAGCATACAGTCTATAAATGAGTAAGTTTATACATTTCAAACTGAAACGCTCGTTATCCTTAAAAGCGGTTCTAGAATAAATTGTTCCTCCTGTGTATCCAGTCTCTCTGCTGGATGGAAGTTGGCATGAGTTTATGCATTTAGAAAAAAGAGGTATAGAAATTGTAATGACTTGCGTATGTGTCTGGCCCTTGTGCATGTGAGCTGTCCTTTGGGCCATGCACAGGCCTAGTAGCCTTGTTCTCTTTAAAATACATGTTTCTAACCTCACTTACTGCACTCTTCTTCACGGTGTGGAATCTCAGGAAACTGCACTGAAGCCAGCGGGTGACGAACATGACAGTATGACGACTTCTAACCGAGCACATACCGTTCGTTACATGTGCACGTAAAGCTTAGATTACGTGACCACCTGACGTTTGGCGATTGCTTCAGATTTGTCTGGTCCTTGTATTTCGAGCTGGCCTTCGGGCCCTGCTCAGGCCCATTATTTCTGTCTTTTTCGGAATACATGTATCCAGCTTCGCTTACTACCTTCTTCCACCCCGTGGGAAGTCTCGGGACACTAAGGGAAGGATTTAGGTTGGGTTTAATACATGTATGTCAGTTGGAGAAGAAGAGGTTTGACTATAGCTCGACATTAAGACCAACTCATGCGTTCAAGAATTTGATAACTATCAAAGCAAAATTCAGTCATGCAGGTGGCCAGTAAATCGAAAGATTGCAGGTTTTTTGGCATAACTTGTTATAACCTATTTAGTATGAAGGTGCATCTAGAATATATAACTCACAGATCTAATTAACACTACATATTTGGAGTAAGTGGACTTTCATTATTTGCGTTTTTTCCCGCACCCTTTTGATGCGTAATTTACCTAATTAAATGCTTTAAATTTACAAACTACGATAGGTAGTGGATGGTTTGAACTTGCGCCAATCACGAAAAGATGGATGATTGTTTGTGTCTGTGTGGGTAGTTTTTTCTTGTCCATATGGTACGTTTGCCTTTGTAGTAGTTGTATGGTGTCACTATAGTGTGGTCGTGTGTAATGCAAATGCATATTGTTTTGCATTTTACAGGCTGACTCTAGTTACTGTATGTACACAGTAAATTCCCCCATATTTGGTCTTGACGATGATTTAAGCCTGTTCCTGAATGAATTTGTTAGTATTGGAAGTCCACGATTTTCGGACTTTGCAACTCTGTGGAAGAAATGGAAATTCATTGAACTGATTTATGGGCGTCGAACACAATCTTCTCTTAAAGATATTTTAGAAGGCATCTTCTTCTATCTTATCAAGAATTTTGACGACCTGTCTGACCTGCGAAAGATTGGTTCAATCTACACCATATATGCCTTTTTTGGGAAGCAACCCATCGAAAAACTGGTACATTTTGACAGAATCGAAAACATTATTTAGCAAATTAATGCCTTAACTGAGGTCTTAAGCCATAATTTTTGTTGCAGGCTAGGGTGAATGTCACTCCTAGTGCATGGAGTATGCTTTCGGCTGCTATGAAACGTATCGTCACGGATCGTCAATGGGACGCATACTACATTTTTCGTCGACTCTGTGTGCAAAGTGCTTTTCGTTTTGTTGCAAACGAGGAGGAGCTGTATCCTGGTGTTCCGCTTTATACGAGATCCAACATCTCCTTGCCGACCCGCAGAACATTTCTCACCAAGGCGCAGAGAAAGCTCCTTACTATTGCCAATAGGGAAAGGAATATGCGAGCGGGTCAGCGAAATGTGTTGCCTTCTCGGTTCCTTGTATTCCCAGAACACCTGAGAACTAACTGGGACGCCGTACTTATGGCTACCAATAATTATATCGAGGAAAAAGCTAGAGTCAGTAGAGTTCCGGAAACATCGACCATCAGGGATCGCGTTGCAAATGCTTTGAAGGAAAATACTTTGTGGAGTTTGAATTTGGTTAGCTACGAGGTGCGACATTCTAACGTTCCATTTATGTATAAGGGTTCTCGCAAAATTCGCTGTTATTCTAACATCCTTACTAATATGCAAAAATGGGTGTTGCTTTTTTCTTAAACTATTTTACCTCTGTTCTCCACAGCACTGTGTTTCAATTTTTCAGGAGTCGGTTGCTCCAATCTCGAAATTTCTGAAGCAGTTTTCCGACGAAGCGAATCAGTCTTGTGTAGATTCTACCGAAGCGGATGAAGAGGCAGAGCTTAAGCCTAATGATATTGGCAAAAGACGTAGACAGTTGCGTAACGCGAAAAACTGGCCCCCAACGAGACTGAAAAGGCTTTGAAAGAAATATAAAACTCATTAAACTTGTTTGTTGCTCTACAAATATTGTTGTTACTCGAAGATTTCCTCAAAGCTTAGTATGTCCTGCCCTTGTGGACCACATACAGTTCCTTTTTATTACCTGCTTTCGTTTCTTTTGGGAGGGTTAAGTACTGGGACGATGTCCGTTAAACTTCGTGTGTAACAGCCGTGTGAGGGTGTCCCTTTTGTTTAAACCAACGGTAGAAATTAGGTTGTTGCTCTAGCTGGAAACGTTCACGCCGTAAACGCTTTTGGATATTTGATATGGAATCCACATATAATTATGGAAAATTATTGGAGAGTGATCCTGACATTAACCTTTTTAGAGGATCTTTTTAGTGTCGAATACCCTACAAGGGTATCACGGGATGTGTAGCACTGTAGGTGGTGAGTTGCCCATGCGAGTGTTGTTTTGGCAGTACCAGTCATCAGAAGGATCAGCGGATTTGATTTTAATTTCATCTTGGGTTTACGAGAAAGCCTCTAATGACAATCCTTTCCTTATGTAAAATATGCATGTCCGTATATCACTGGTTCACACATAAAAAATAAGGTGGCTTACGGCTTTACGAGATTCCATTTTTAAATTTTGCAAACTAAATTTGTCCTTCTTCCATCGGGAAAATGGCATTCATCGGGAATAGGTGACTACGTCTGTTGTTTATTTACTCTTATTAGCTAGGTTTATGGTAAGCATCCTTCATGTCCAGTTATTAATGCTTCGGGGTGGTAGCTAGGGCTATGGCTCTGTATATCTGTACACGTCTGAAAAACAGTTTGTCTTACAATCGTTGGCACTCAAAAGGATTTATGAATACGTGAAGCATCACTGTTAAGCTCAAATCACGCTTCCACGCAGGTCATGCCGGACACTTTTCCGTCAAAATAGGGTTTGGTAATTTTTAAAAATTACTTTTAAACAGAACATGTCAGCAGACAGTGGGCGGTTGAAGAACTATCATTGAAGAGTCGCCTCACTAGAGGCTGCCAGTGACAACTTCTAACGCCAACTCTATGCAGTCGTCAAGATCTTCCATTACTAGTGAGCTTCGCAAAAGACGCTTTGAGAGCGGAAAAACAGCCCTGATAGGGATGCAGGTGTTATTCAGTTATGCGAAAACGCTATTTTCATTAAGTTAAAGACTAAGAGAATTCACAAGTTAACAGCACAAATTCCAGTCTACTTTACTTGCTTGCCTTCGAGGTGCGTTTTGTGCGGTGACATTTGACGCAAATGTGCAATGTGCAGGGGCATCGTGCGCGGCAGCTTTATGCTGGAGACAGTGGACAGGAGAGATACGAGTCTGACGATTTTCAGGGGAAGGAGTACCTGTCTCGGTCGACTTCTTTAGTCCTCCATAGTACCCAGCGTTATGCTGCGGCCACTAAGAGAAATCGCGAGTTGGATTGCCAATAATGAAACTGCCCTACCCAAGCCCCTCAAAGAATACAGTCACGGTGCTGCTCTTTCCAGAACCTTAACTTCGTCTATGGTCGAAATATGTATTTCTAAGGTTCTACCTTAATTACTAGAACTAGAAAACTTCCAACATTTTGAACTGGGCTTCGATTCAGTATTTATGGCCCATGACTAATCTATTCAAGATGTTGCGTGGTGAAACTACATTTTTTGTTGTTTTAGGTGATCAATCTTCAAAAATGTCTTTAAATTTAACCTTCTTAAGATGTAGGATACTTAACCAGCGGACTTCATTGGTTTCCTTAATTCGGAACAAACAGCTCTGGCGAAGAACAGCATTAAAGGTCTTTTGGTTGAGCTAGAACGGTGCATTAGGGAAGGAATATAAGCCGGATTTTCTTCACTAAACCAGCCTGCCTAAACCAGCCTGCACACTCTCAGTCAGATTTCCGTAGCACCTTGATATTTTTGCCTTTTGAATTTGAACTCTTGTAGCTGCAGTGGGTAGCTTTCCTCGCGCATACTAAACCATGTCTGGGGGGGGACAGTGATTGTTAAGAACGGATGCCTTTTGATGCTAGTTGGTCTGCTCCCTTGCAAGCAGCTGTACCCAGCTTTACAAGCTTTCTGTTTAGTCAAAATCGCAGGAGTCAAGTATGCTTAGGATATGGGCAGTTTGAAGCATGATTTTTGTCGGATGTTTGAATGACGTTGCAGACGTGACTGAAAGATTAAGGAGTTCATAGGATAAGTATGCTTTCCTATCCGATCGGTAGTGGCAATTGGCATCACAATGACATGAGCGAATAAAACTTTTTTGGCATTTGAAACTATAAACTCTACTCTAAAATGTAAGCAGCAACATAAACGCGATCTGTTCTGGGATTCATGATGTCGACGCAAAGACTCCACAATATTGGAGGCGTCCATCAATTTGCCATCAATAAACACTAGCACTACGAAAAGGTGAGGGAAGATGTTGCACATACTTTCAGAGGCATGAAGACCAGAAGATAAGAAATAAGTTAGAAGTCAAAGTCTATTTCATAGACAAAGAAAAGCTGCAAAGGGAGCCCTGTTTCCGTGCCTTATTTGCTAACACCTATGTATCCTGCTGGACACAATAGGTAATCAGTAGCAATGCGTGGATAGCCTTTGGATCGAGCTCAAATAATGCACGTAACGGCGATATGATCCTAGCGATCGGGAGATTAAGATGCTTGTTTGGCGTTCACTTTACTGTTTCATTTGCAACACTATCGAACTCTCAATGCATCCCAGTGCTAAGGAAATGACCACTCAACATTTATACGTCCCTTATACAAACCACTAATGACAATTTAAAGAACTATCTTACCTTTACATTGACAGGGTTCGTAGTTTCATCGGACAATTTGAGTTACAGTTAATGCGTCAGAAAGTAAATCGAATAGTTGCTGAAGATTCGCAACTACCTCAGTTAAGTTATGTTACTATGTTCAACGGTTACGATTTCGCCGATATAACTTCTTGATACGGATCGGTTTTTAAAGCTAAATTGAACACGGTTGACCCCATAGTGGGCCTTCCAATCGTCGCACCAAATGATTATTCCCACCATAAAGCTGTCTGTCATTCTCGCCATGCCTCAGCAGGTGATGCTCCCCTTTTTCGGAAAGTAAATGGATGCCACTGATTTGGAAATAGCATTCTCTACTGAGGATGAGGACTTCGCTTCTTCCCCAGTCTGTCTTTTGTAGCAGGCGTTATTATTCCATCGTCGCACGTTTACTTCCAAGTCTAGTCCCGATAACAGTACCATTCGTAACCTAATTTTTTACGTCACCAACTGAATAATGCGAGTCAACCATCAATAGCAGACATGCAAATCGGATGGAATGAAGCACATGTTGGCACAACAACCACTTACCTTGAAAACAAAAGTGGCTATGGCGGTAAATTTCGTGTATTCAGTTGGTTTAAGCGGGATTAACAACAGCGTGACGAAAGTAAATTCACACACTAAAAGGCGAGTTTCGACTGATATCGTGTGATTCAGACGGAAGGCAGGAACAATCTCAAGGCCAGAATGGAAAAGGCGGAACAAATCACATCTTAGTTTCACTATTTGCCGTTAATATTTAGCAACAGTTCCTAAACGTAACAAAGGAAATATGAATTTGAAATCAGCAAAAGCTCTCATTTCCCCCAACAAATGGGAATACTAAAGTACTGTAATCATATAAAATCGTAGTGATAACTGCGAATATCATTAAATCTACAAAAATCCACTTCCACCTGGGTTAAAGAGTCGAGCTGAGCATCAATGCAACAGCGTTGCAGCAACCAAAGTGAACTTTAATTACAGTCCTCAGAAGCATAAAGGAGACAACTTTTGTAAAAAAGTTCCAGCATAATCAGAACTACCTTTATCCCACTAAAACCAAATCATCTTCAAATTAGAATACATAGAAGTACTGTACGACAGGGGAAGAATCTCAAAGGTTGTCTACATAATTATTGTTTTGGGGATGTGTTATTGCTAGCATAAGATAAGAACACCATTTTTATCAAAGCAGCGTTTTTCAGGCAGTGAGTCGACCTCATCTGGGAGGCGATTCACACGTAAACTT